GGAAACATTGACGGAAGCCATAAGAGCAGGAGGCCTTACAAATTCTCCATTAATTGGCAGTTCCTTGGATTAGCTGGTCTTTTATTAGCTTACTTTGCACTCAAGGATTCTCATTTACAGAACATGTAACTCAATCATTTGAAACGTTTTTTGTTGTAAACCCATCATTGGTTTGTAATGTAACAGCGACTCTACATTTGTAGAATATCCTGGGGTTGTGATGTCAATATCAAATTATTCAGACACAACAGAAAATGGAGACCGCTTCTTTGAAAAAGGCACTGCCTTTAAAGAATGATTCCTTCTCAAAATCTACTCATACTATCATAGCTTTCTTCTTCTTGTCTGTTATGTCAATGGGTGGATAACATTGAAACATTGTAGAAATATTCAAATCTGCAGTAATAGCTCTCCACTTCCAGATGGGAGTCAACAATTATTTTGTGCAAACCAATAATGAAAGAGTCAAAATCATTATGAGACATTATGAATAATTCAAAATTTCAAATTAAGATGCTTAATCCCAGGAACAGTAGTTTGATTGAAATATAAGGATACGCAGTCAAAGACAAGATATGCTACATGAGGAAGGGGAAAATCTTTTAACTCTTCTATAACCCTATGGGAACTTTGGTAAAGCTAAAATATGCAAAAGAAAAAATTGAATGAGTGGCCCATTCACCTTGGACAGTCTGCTCTTCTGTAGAATCCGCCCTTTCAATCCAGACATAGGAGGTTCATGTCTGGGCTTTATGTAATTTGTGGTTGGCATTACAGAGCTCCCCAGCATGGACTTTGTGTAGACTTCAATAGTGTACATTATGAGCCTGGCAGGTGGTGTTTTGAGGATATCTTTTAATTCTCTGCAACTGGTAGCCATAGTCATCCTATTTCCTCACCAAAATTACCCAACTCCCAGGTGGTTGTCTGTACTTGAAGATAAATGGATTCAGTCTCCTATGAAATAAAGCTATGGAAGACAGGGGGTCTGAGCCATCTTGGTTGATACATGTACATCAGCTAGTAAATATTATGCCCATGAGCTTGTGAGAGGAAATCTTTCAGTAATTCTCTTGTCTTTCTGAAGCAAATCTTTCTACAGCACATGACGTATACTGTATTTTTTCTGTGTACTTTTTAGAATATTACACAGAAAAATACAAATGTACGTATACTCAGCAGGAAGGAAATCCACAGAAATTGACAATTTTCCCAATTTTCATTTAAAAGATTAAAATCCATATACTGATGATATAGCATTCTTATCATTAGTGTCCAGTATATTTCAACATGTTGTGTATACGCCGGGAAAAGTAAAGGTTAGGGTATTTACCCAACAGATTCGTATAAACAGACCTGCCCATGTGGTGTGTCAACTGCTTTTGTCCAGTCCTACTGCTATTACTTGCTCCAAACATAATCATTTGCACATTTGGGGCAATGGGGGAGGGAGGTAATTACTGTGGTCTCAGTGCTGTGGTCTGGTAGGACCCTACAGGCTGCTGAGTGATATTTACATCAAAATAGAGAACCCTCCAGTACAGTCTGCAGCCCCATGTTTAAACTTCAACTGTCGTTGTTTCTGTCTAGACAGATCATTGCTCCTGTCTTACCTGATCCTTTCAGCCTTGCTAAAAATGCCCTTTGTTCTTTTGTCATGTGGTTGAGAAGACCTATAAATCTATAGAGGGAAATATGGTTTTGGACCTGACATAACAATCTACCGGTAGATGCTTATTTTGCCTTGTCAGGATAAATTGTTTTTCCTTCCTTTTACCAAAGTGATCACATATATACAGATATAGCAAAACTACCATATCATGCTTTCCTTTTCCTTATCCCAATCATTGTAACACAGTCATATATCAAGCATTCTTAGCTTGAGCGTGACAAGCCAAATTGAAGAGAAAGCTATCCGGATTGTTACTGTTCCTAGAGTGTCCTCGGCATGACTATACAAACAGAACTGAGTAACAAGCAGCTGGAGTAAACAGACACAGGCATCTGATCAAAAAGCAGAGATTCCGTCATCCCGCAGTGAAGCATCAACCGTGTACCGGTACACCAGTCATCACTTCCCCATCCACAGTATCTCTTTCTTCCGGTTCCACGAAAACAAAGGCTCTGTCATGTGCACATATTGTGACTGCTCTGTATACCAAATACACACTTATACAGGTAAACACAGTAAGGCCCCCCTGCTATCTTCCCTACTCTCCAAGCAGAGGTTGGTGGGGAAGATTGTGACCTTTCTATCCCGTTTTCGGTTGCTACTCCCCACCAGACAGCAGCAACAGAAAATAGGGGATATGATACCACCTTCCCACCAACCTCTGCTTGGAGGATAATTTTTCCATGCTGCTAAAGAATGTCTACATGAAGGAATGATAGTTCCCTGTACAATCTGGACAAGTTTGATGTGTCTCACCAAAAACATAATGATGAACAACCAATTCAAGTGCCTTGCTACTGCACAGATTTCCGAGCAGACGCTACAACTAAGTGGTTAGAACAATCATGATTTTCTGGCTGCCAGCCATCCTAGCAGGTAGGAAATGTAGCTGAAAGATTTTCCTCCCCCACAAATCTATTTAGAAATCAATCATCCACAGCAATGAAATGTAGAAGTCATGGGTTGTTATCGTTTTGTATTGTATTTTGTGAGTATTCGTTTCATCATACTTCACTTGTACAGTCACACAGTACGTCCACCAAGGTTCATGTCTAGCATTCTTCCTGAGTCGGTATTATCACTTGTCTCAGGTGACAGGAAGCACCTGTGATGTCATCAGAATGTGACAAGTAAAATTGAAGAGAGTGACAGGACCAGGTTGGGGGGTGAGGTAACTGGACCTTGTTGTTTTCACCAGAATGATTGAGCTGTTGTAAACATCTACAGTTTTCTTTTCTCACAGCAATCAATTTTAAATGCGCTTAAATCGTATAAACCATTATTGGATTAGAGATAACAATTTGGACACATTCTTTTAGTCTTCTACTGAATTGTATACCCTGGTTAACCTACAGGGCATGGAGTATGATCACAATAATACAGAGATACATGTAGGGTCAGCAAGACAACAACAACAGGGTATCACCCTTTTCAAACTTTGACCTTTGCCCTCAGGTCTCCACATATAGGCCACCATCATATTTGTCAACCAATTATAAAACATGATATGTCTGCTCCACCCATGAGTGCCCATAAATATAGATGAAGCTTAATGAGAGAGGGATGCCTCAATTTCTGTAAATCTGTCCAGTTTTCTTCCTCAAGGTAGCAGTAATTCTTGTATCAGCTTCAATGTGTGTAACACAAATGGTTGAAAGACCCCGTCATTCTGTGTGTCATCAGACAGATAAACAGTGTACCTCACTCTATCTTCTGGACAGCTTTAGAGAGAAATTCTTTAGATGAATCCCTTCCTGACCCAGATCACGTCTTCTGAGCTGCTTCAGAGGGTCTCTTGTATCAAAATCACTGGCAGGACCAGCCGCACACAAATCAGCAGGGTTGAAATAGGTCAAGCACTAGACAGAGCCCCATTTTTGGTACCACGGGGGACTTTATGGTGATGGATGCTTTGAATCATGTTCCTTCATCCAAAACCTCTTCTATCTTCAACTGCTGTAACATGGTCAAGCTTTACAGTAGCTATTTTGTCTGAAGAAATGTTCATGTCCTGAAACAGTGTTGAAATGGTGTTCAATCGAATGATGATAGCAAACATTTCATTTAAACTATCAAAACGGGAATGTTTTTCAGTCAATAACCAATAAGAGTCATGTTTGAAACACTGTCCTCCTTGAAGTTGAACTTTGATCTGTGTGGTCACCATGGTGGATACGTTTGTAGCCTTGTAACATCACACCGTAAACACTTCAGTTTTGCTCCATCAGCCAATGTCAGCCTTCTCTCTTCTATCAGAACATTCCTACCTTGTGATAACTAGTCCTTAGCAGGACAGCCCTCCTTGGTATAATGCCACTGGGTGTTTCAACCCCTATTCCTGTGGCATGCTAGGCAATAACATCTCAAGAGATGACACATGACAACAAATTATGAATCCTAACCTCCTTGAGGACTTCAAACTCCTCATTACAAAACTCATATGATGTATTGGCAATAACAGTTTTGCCAATATCATATACAGTCAGTGTCACTTGGGAGGAGCCAATTTAGTAATAAAAACCAGTTTTGGATGTTTGGAGTCCAATCTTCTAGATGGAGGGTGTGTCATCATGTCCCTTTAATTACATCTTACTGACACATTTATATCATTATTTTCCACATCAAAGCTGGATGAATTATAGGTCTCCATATTGTGGGTGGGCTAGAAGCAGAAGCCTTCCCTGTTTCAGATTTGCTGGTCCAAAGTCCAGGAAAGGGGTCTGGGGAGGTCAATGCACATACCTAGCTTGGAAGAGTTAGACAAATTAGTTTAACCTACAAGCAAAATGACCTTTGGCTTGAAGAACCACAAGAAAGATGTCATTTCATTTGAAGGATGGACATGAACCTCCTGTCTTCCCTCAGTCAGACATCACTGACACAGAGATGACAATCAACAGAAATATGTTAATTTTGACATCTCAGCTAGGTTTCAAAAAGCTCTTACAATCTCAAGTCCAGCTGGACACTGTTGTTACCCTATGACACTGAAATGGTTCAATATATCTGTCCATCAGCTGCCATCTTGGACATCAGAATGGACGCTCTTCAAATGGCCCATATGGCTGATCTTTCCTAGATAGTGGTGGATGCTGGAGACTTCCGAATGAAATGTAAATGTCCATCTGAATACGATATTGAATTGATTAGACCTTTTAAACCTCCTTGGTTAGATCAAGGTGACCTTGTTAGACAGGAACAGATGGTCGATGTGAAATTCACACAGTGACATCACTTTCACCTTGATCTTATCAGACCCTAGGTGTGAAGTGTGCAGCCCTTAAGGTGAATTCACACCTGCTGTGTACATGTCAAAAATAATACATACCTGGTTCTCCTCAGATGTGACCCTCAGCTGCTCCTTGAGAAGTGCAAGTCTGCTGGCCTCTTCCTTCCGGATGGCTCGCTCCTTCTTCAGCTCGGGGCTCCAGAACGTCTTGATTGAGTTCATGGAAGATTGCAGCTTCCCCTCCTTGATCTCTATCTCCTTCCTTAAGGCTGAGTTCTCCCGCTGCAGTTCCTTGGTCTGAGACTGCAGATCGACCATCACATTGTCCCGGACTTGCCTCAGCTCGTGGCTGTGGGGTAGTTGTGAAGCCATGTTCGCCGAGACCGTGTCAGCACTGGAGCTGGCGGGGAGGTTGGGGCTGGACCCGCGGGCGGGGAGAGGGGAGCCCCCGAAGGAACCTGACCGGGAGTGCCCGGAAGCGGCAGGACTACGTAACGGAGATGAGCGGCCTGATCGTGGTACGTGAGTCGGACTGCCGATAGGATCAATGTACGAGGACATACCTGTATTGTAGACAGCGTTCAGGGACTGGATGTTCTCCATCGACATGCTGGAAGCTGAGTTCTTTCTACCGAGGGAGGGGGAGCGGTGCTGGGCCTGCGGCCGGGGCGCAGTGTGGGAATTACCTGGTCGCGACTGGTGCCCCGAACTGCCGGGACTCCGGCCGTCGGGAGATGACCTGCTCTGCGTGTACATGATGGTCCGATCAAGCTGGAGGTATCCCCGCGCCGGGCATGGCAATCCGTTAGGCTGAAGGAGACAAGATACCGGAGAATTTCACTCGCCAAACCACCATTGTTCGACTGCGATTGCGGTCCTCAAAATGGCCTTTCGCTGAAGCTGGGCGAAACCATTCTGTCAGGGAGAGTGGCATTTGTTTACATTCTCACAAAGTCAACATACCAACCAAGTAATCACATTGGGCTTAATTGTGATATTGCCATAATCTTTTTTCTATTAATATAATGAATCGAATTTTTTACATTAAGCTCGGAAATAATGATATTTGCTAGTGAATGTGTAAATGAAAAATTCCCTGACCCCTACAACATATGCATTCTCTGCATATGTAATTGATTTGCGGAAGCCAGTTTTCTACTTCCGGTCCCGTTCTCGATCTCTGACTCCCTGAGCGCTGCAAACGAAATCGCAGCACAGCCTTGAAGCATACATCCTGGGCGAGTACGATCCGCGTGAATGGAATAGAGAAAAAAACCTTCCAAATGTAATGCTAATCCTTAGTCCTTCCCAGAATGTACCATTAACCATGAACGCTCTTTTTATTCCTTGCCACAAGCAATTGCATCCTTGGCCCCATCCCAGCATAACAGATAAAAACAGCTCACGACTGACACTGACTGAAAACAATCGATATTTTCCAGGGGCAAAACGGGTGAATTTTTTCCAGCTGCCTTCTTGCCTCGCTGGAAAAGATAGATGGGCTTTAAAATGATTTGGTCTCCTGAATAGAGCCCCGCGCTCCATTGTTGCTTGAATGCGCTTCTCGTTTTACCTTTTCAATGCAGTCATTGAATATTATTCAAAAGTTCAGTAACTGTTAGCGGCAAGCAGGGAAATAAATTACCACCATCGGAAATGACATCAGAACTAGCTTCCCCGCCAAAACGAAATAAAGAAAGGGAACTGTTACATCATGTTACCGGTTAGTAATTGCCATTTCTAAGACGATGCTTCATGATCATGAATTTCGCGGATGCGGAAGCGCCGGGAATTGCATGTTGAATCATGGCATGTTGCCACTGTGGCATGTTGCTAAACTAATTCGTAGACTTCGGCATATCGCTGATATGATTTTTACTATGGTTTCCAAATATTATATCAATGTTAATGCGGTAGAGTGAGGGAGTTACGCCTTTCCCGCTCAGGCAATACACACAGCAGGAAACAGACATTTAAGCATACTTTCCGCAATATGTAAAGAAGTATCAAAGGTGAGAAAATATCTCAGTAGACTTTACGAAAATCCCGCCTTTCCGTTAGCTTTCAGTGTGCTTAAATACGGCGTGAACATATTTCATATCTTTACGCTTCCTTTACAAATTCGTAAACATATACAGCCTTGTTCGCGGATACATGTACTGCTCTCCCGGAAAAGAAACCGCCACTCTAGCCGGCCGATCGTAGAAACACTGAACGCTGCTCCGCTAGTGGTACTGCTCATAGCGCGTAACCTAAGGAATATTGTGGGAATACTTGGCATCGGATATTGATTCCTGTTAAGTTATGTGCACGTGATGGCCTTTGCTAAAGATCCTGAGAAATATTTCTTGGCTAATCGTGTTTGACTTGCGCTATCCACTTTATGACTTCGAAATAAACCATTTATAAATTACAAGAACTAACGTTACATCTACATTATCCGAGGACAGAACTAAAAACCGTAAAGAGAAAGAGAACGAGAGAGGTCGGTTTTAGAAAAAGATACTAAACAAAACATTCCTGGAATTAATTTGTTGTCTCTATCTTTTCTAGTTTGAGTAGTAATCTTCCGAAAACAAAGTGCGAAATAAAAGGCATTGGATGATCCGAGTGTCCAAGCGACTTGAGGAAAGATGTCAAAGGCGAGTAATATCTTTCGTGAAATCTTTCCACGACTTGACGAAAGTTTTAATAGTCAGATTTTTACGAGCAACGTTACGTTAACATGACTTGACTGATGAGTTTATGTCTCTCTGGCTGGAAGCCAGTTCCGCCATTACCATTCAGTCACCGTTCATTACTAATGCACGACAGACAACTTGATATACGTGTTGTATTTGAATAACTTTTATCAAAGTGTCTTTCCGTTTGTCGTTAGAGATAGCTGATCAAATTATCCGTGTGCTTTATCAAGTGTAAGGGCGCTATAATTTTTTGCACAAGGGCGTTACTCTTACTTCCATCGCAAGAAGGCGCTTCTTGCACGTAGTCACCGTTTTTTACCGTTTATAGCATCATACAGGTACCGGTGTGTAAAAATTATCTTTTATAAATATTAATCGATTGAATTTTGCTCAAGCAAATTTATTTGTTCTGTCCAAAGTAGATGTTTCGCTTTTCCATCTGTAGACCAGAATGCGTTCCTGTCCTTGCAACTGAGCGGTGTTTTGGACAACTAAGTTGTCCAAACATTTCAGACTAACAGAGAACACGGTCTCAATAGTTTGGGCAGAAATGCTCGAAATAGTAATTTCAGTTATGTACGAGATCTATATATAGATTGATGCAGATGGGCGTTTTAAACCATTAGCCTTTTCTGGACCATTACGATGATTGATTAAGGCCAAGGGGGCTTTTTGTACAAACTACTGCAAACCTTTGTTACCCTCTGAGGGGCTCTAGAGGGTAGATTAAGCAATCATAATGTTTCAAACCATCATGGAAAGTTTAATAAGTAAAATTGAACAAGCAGATGTCCTTTGACCGCACTGTATAGGGAATTCACATTCTGGTATCTATTGTGAAAAAAATGATGCCAACGGCAGTACTTATTTGCATGCAGTTATTTACAAATAAATTTATAAAGGGAAAAACAAAAATACAGCCCATAGCACTGATTCTGGAATGTCTGTTGAACCATATACAACACAGCACACTTAACAATGTAAGAAACATTCAGACTGCACTGAATGCACCACAGAGTTTAATCTTGCATAACAGATCTTATGGTATACAACAAGAGCAGAGACTGTTGCTTTTTCCCAAAAATTTAAACCACATTAATAGAACATATATTACAGTGAAGCCCTTTGTGGAATTAATTGAAAGTTATTCATAGATACATCTGCCTGAGGTGAAGATACATAAAAGGCAACACAATTTTGCAAGGGAGCCAAGTCATTGAATAATCAGGTGTTAAAGGCTATGGAAGAAAAAACTACACCAAACAACTTGTAATAATAAAATCTTAGTCAGAAATACCCTAGTTACTGTCACAAAGGACAGGAATAATTGAAGAGGCAAAATTATGGAATGGCAGCATGTAGAATGAAGGCACACATAGCTCTTCAACACAACTGTAGCGATGACATACATACTGTATGTAAATAATTCTAACATTCTTCTTTAGATTGTCTTGTCCTATATCCCTTTTCCTGCTGCATAGGTAAATTTGACACCAAAATGCTAGATGTATATACCTTCATAGTATGGACAGTGGCAAATTGCCCAGACCATTTAAATGAAAATGGCAAACCATTAAAGTCAATGTACAAATGATTTGGAAAATTAAATAACAATACCTGAACATCAGCAAAACAAACACACAGATTTGCTAGATTACTATCAATTCATATGAGTACCATTTTGTACACTATTTATGTCATGTGTTGAATGTCTTGTACTTTCTTCTGAGGTAAGGTATCAAGCAATATACATTGCATACTGTAAACTATCTTGACAGCCATACTATGTGCAATTACAGTAGTATGTATGACATATATGAGTCATATTTACAGAATGATAGTTATCAAGCCTATACTCCTTTGCAATGTAAATAAAAATGCCTTAAAGGCAACTTGATGGCAACTTCACAGCTAGTATATGAAGCAGAGCTGTGCTAATACAAATATATCTTTATTACCATTTACACTTATAATCTCAAAACATCACTTTTTTAACATCAACATGTCCTTTCAAGAAGACACAGAGCAGTCAAGACCTTACAAAATACAAGCATACATGTACAGGTTTCAAAAACCACAATTGCATATTGAAACAGCCATGACCTTTGTTTGATCAGAACACAGCATTTACTGTACAGGCCTGATATAATCAGGCAGATTTTTTTCCACAAACTGTTAGATCCAGATCTCAGATCTCTGTCTCCACTGATGCAGCCTGGTGTGAGATCAGACCTTTTGCTATCAGATTCTTGATGGAATCTGCGATGATCTGGGCTGTACGCTTCTGGTAGCCACCTGTAGTTAGGAGAAGCACAAATGAGCAATGAAAAACTGACTGTAGTTTGTGATATTGAGCAGACTCTGGGGCTGTGTTACAGGCATTTCCCATATTTTGGTAGTCCCATCTACTGTATTATAATCTAATAATAAAAAAAAATAGAGATACATAACATAACATAATGTAATGGAGAATCATTTGCCAGGCAGTTACCATTTGCCACCAATTGGGCTGACATAAAAAAGATACCAGTCCAAGAAAGAAAGCCTGCTAAAAGCACCTAAAAACTGAAGCATAATCCTAAACCTCTGCTAGTACCTGTACATAATGATTGTTTGTGTTACCAGAACACTTACCCGAGGTAACCATGAGGATAGGGATTTGCCTGGGTCTGCCTTTTCCCCTGGCAAGCTCAAACACCAACTGGTCTCTCTGAATTATACCCTGCAAAACATCAAGTTCATACTTCAAGTTGACCAAACAAAACTTAATTGTGTAATGTTAATGGTATTTCGAATGAATAATAGAATGACAACTTGTGAATACACTGAAAGCTAGTGAATACCTCAGGTGATATAGACAGAGCTCCCAGTGGATCACCCTCTAGGACATCAGTCCCTGCATTGTACACTATGATGTCTGGGTTGAACTCTTCCAAGGCTTTGTCAAGGTTTCTGTGATAACAAACATTTCACACATGACAACTGATTCTGGGAAGGTAAAAAGACAATCATGGAGAGCAAGCATGGAGAAAACTCATGAGCTAAAAATGTCCTAAATGGCATGATTACGTAATGACTTCATGATTTATGGTAACTTAAATCATGTCCTAGTTTGTTGCTATGTAGTTTCTTGACAAAAATATAGAGGTACAAGATCAGGACAATGGTGCTAATATGTAAACATATAACTTACTTCCTAACAAGGCTGAGGTAGTGATCATCTTCTGTGTAGGCCTGTAACTCTACCTTGCATCTGATTGCACCTGAAACACATTGAGAGCATCCACATAACAGTTACTCAAATCTTCCCAAAGGCACAACACACATTTCTGAAATAGTAACAACTCCTCCAGATACATTGTAAGTGAATGTCACCAACCTACCTTTTGCATAGCTGTCATGTGGATAGATGTACCTGTTGTACACATCCATGATGTAAACTCTGCTGTCATTGATGAAGTCCCTTTCATGGCCGTTACCCTTAGATGAAAAGCAAGATATAAAGTTAGTATATACACTGTACACATTTATGCACAGCTCAAAGAATTAAAAGTTATATAACAGTGGGATTCAAGTGCAACCAACTGTAATCCAACAGCCCTGCAGTTAGTGCATTGGGTTCGTGACCTAGCGCCATGGGTTTGGCCTGGGAGCCAGGATAAGGTTATTTTTCACTTTGGTCTTTGAATTTACTTCAGAATGAATGATGAACTGCTGATAGGTCTTAACTTTACATGCCTGCCTGTTCATCCCCTAAGCTCCTTTTAATTCTCACTACTTGCACTTAAGTCTTTAACCCTTGGTATTATCATGATTCACACTAGCAAATGTTTCCCCATTGACACACTACTTCTTAAACTACTTCTTAAATGTTTCCCCATACACAAATTTAGTTCTTGATGTGTCCCTGTTCATAAATAGAAATAAAAACTCTTTCCTCCCACACTACTGCATAATGTTTCCCAGTTCATGCACAACACTTCCTAATGTTTCCCTGTTTGCACAATGCTGATTAATGAGTTTGAACTTTTCAACCATAAGAATAAGATAACGTTCACTGCACCAACCTACCTGATGGGCATCTAGGTCTACAATCATGGCCTTGGAGATGCCTTCTATTCTCTCAAACAGAAACTGTGCTTGACAAAGATAGTACAGTGATTAGAAAACACAGCAATTAAAAATGGCGAAAAGTAGCTGATGGATAGTCAACTTATGTCTTACAACAGAGAGAACACCAGTTTGCCAAACTAAATATACTGAACAGAATAAGCTCTCACCTTGATTGAAAGTGTGATGTCTGCATATGCACAGAACCCTCCTCCCCTTTCTGCAGAGCAATGATGGAACCCACCACCTGGAAATAGAGGTTGTATGAACCTCCAAGATCACAGTACGCCATACCATGTTATGCACAAACATACACACACACAGAAAAACAGACTCACACAGAGATATATCAATTCCATTTGTCACTAGCTGAGAAAAAGTAGTGAATGAAATCTATTTAGTTGTTTGAGTAACTGTTTTCTTGTGGAACACACATATGTCAGTTTCAAACACTAGATACATAACAAGTGAGGATTAAAATTATATGACTATATGTATGAGTACAGTTTACTCACCGATGTTTAAAGCCCAACCTCTCTCAGTTGCTAGCTTTCCTGCCTGGTAGTCAAAAATACAAGTTGGGAAAAACCAAGTGTAAAGCTTGACTTTAACCATTAACACTGAATTAACGATTACATTTGTACATTAAAATACTTTCTGAAATGTTATACTACTGGATTGTTCCCATACACACAACATGTTGAATACCGTTTAGAGTTAGACTCTTCTTCACAAGTTGTAGTTTTCTCCAATAACATACCCACCATAACTGTTCCACCTGTCTGCAATCTCAGTGGTTTCAGCAGTTTTCTTTGCACAATGAAGTTTGGCAGCAAAGCAACAGGGGGCACTTCTGTGATGCCAGCTACCACCATACTCCACTGAAGAGGAAGAATACATTGTCACCCTCTTAATATATTACCTATGACATCACATACAGGTATTCTATAACAGTTCCTACTAATCAATACAAAAATCTGCAGCCTCTATAAATCAGAAGTACATTTTGCATTATTAAGCTAAACTGGATACAGAGATGGATCAGCCTATGAAGCAACTCATCTTTTCAATATTGATGAACAGATACAACGATGCTGAGTAACCCTTGGCAACATCAAGCTATTCTCATCTATAACTTTAACACACTCACCTTGAGACTGTTAAGGTAACCACTGCTATGCACCATTAGTAGGTCTTCCTCTGTGGCCTCTACAGGAGTCACTACATCATCATCCTTCAGCAGGCCACTCTCTGCAATACAGTACAATGTAAAAATAATGTTATTTACTTCAAGACCTTCACTACCTTGGTTACATGAAATTCTCCATTGCTATTATATGTATGCATGGTTACTTCATGGTTACTTCATGGTTACTTTCAACACCTACTTCAAATGCATCAACTAGAACATTTTCAGAGCAAATGCATAATGTTAACCATGGTCTAGCTTAACAAACTACTGCTCTATTTATTCTCACTCAGACTCATTCATGTATGTGGTGACTAGCCTCTCCAACTCTGTCCTGCAAATTCCTACTTTAAATATCCAATGGACGTCTGCTACATCACCAGTTACCATGGTGACAGATGTCTGGTCCAGGTCACTGATCTTTACAAAGAAACTATGCAAAGGCAAAGGTAAACATATTAAACTTTTGTATCCAGATCTGTTCACTGCTTTGTTTACCATCAGAATACAGTGTTGAGTCCAGTATAAAATGTCCTTGGTTGAATTACCTTTCAGATACCTGAAGACTTTTCCCCATTTACCAGAGTCAAACGGATGCAGCTTTTCCAAGCCCAGGAAGCCAATATTGTAGTCGGAGCTGTATACGATGGGCCACTTGGATGGGGGGATATCTTCATGTAATCTGGTACTGTGGGAAATGCTGCCAAAGAACAGAAAAAACTGTTGGAGTTGTCTGAACATATGTCATCATATGCCATATTCTGCTATTACAATATAACGTTGTGTTAACTTGTTATAGCAAGGACATTTCTGTATATGATGTCCTTGCTTATAGTTTAATTAACATTGTATAAAACAAAATAAATAAAAGAGTAGAAATGCCCTATTATAAATAAAGCTGTTATAAAATGGCATAAAGATGTACAGACACATCAATAAACAATCAGGCCACTGATGACTTTCTATTTGCTAGCTGCCAGTTCAAAGTGCAGTGAATGGGTGATGTTGAACATATTTTACTTCAGCACTTTCTTACAATATATATGGCGTTTCACCTTGGTAGTTAACACAGTACAAAATGACAATGCTATCAATTATAACATCAAAATATCGCTTATCCATTTAACTATAACATTTATCATATTTGTGATAATGATGTCACCACATATATATTATACACACATCATACTAAAGATGTCATCTCGTAGAAGCTTCCTTTTTCTCCTCAGGTACAAGTTAGGAGAGAGGGAGTCAAGTCATAAAGGTATAGCAGAATACATCAGGAGTTTCTAGTCGACGTATGGACACTGTTTGTGGTAATAGTAATCTAAGACTAAGTGGGGAATTACAGGAAAACAAGTTGTAAAGTACACACCTCTTTTTGTCATCTGCAGCAGCCGCCATGACGATTGTTTTGGTCGAACTCTCGTCTTTTCTCGCAAACTTTCTGGACGTGAGTTGTGCGAGATTTCAGACGGTAACCAATCAGAGGGGCGCGTTACATCCGGGGTGTTGGTACTCTAATGGCGTCTCTTTCGAAGTCGGAAGAGGCGAGTCGAGAGCGCACCGAAAATATCCTGCAAATTCCAGACTTAAAACCAATCCGTTCGTAATTTTTCCTCCAGACTGACGCCCCTCCGCGGACGGTTTTGTCCGGACATCTGTTCCTTTGGAAGGAGGGGAGCTGGGTCGGTTGGATTTCAACTCCTACGTTGGCGGAAAATTTGAGTTGGTGACTTGTGTGTTGGTCCCCTGTGGTGTGTGGTGTGGGAGGGTACGTTGTGGTGGCATGGCCGCCAAGGTGAAAATTGAGAAGCCAGGTAAGGAAAAATAAGAAAAAATTTCACTGCAGATATGTGAATTTTCAATTGACAACGTTATTAAAGTGTGGAATCATATGATCTTAATGCGTGTGTATCAAATAAAGTGTAGGAAAGTATGCAGTATATTTTTAGGTGAAATTTGTGTTTGTCTTATGATAACAAACAACTTCTGACCACAAGCCCTGTACTAAGGAGTAAGATGTCCATAGTTCAGCTGATAGTGGCGAAAAGCCTCAGTATCCAGTGGTCATTATCATGTGCTGCATCCACAATATTGTGAAATAAATGTGGTATTGAATTTCATAATATTAATAATTTAATAAATTATTGACTGTGCACCTGTCAGAGTGAATACTTGTGAGTTCCCAGATTAGAATTTAGATTTTATTTTGAGTTGAGTTGACATTCATGTACCATCTTTGACCTCAGTTCTGAAGGCAAGGTCTGCAAATTATGATTCTCCACGCAGTCTTATTATAAAATGCAGGGCCAGGTCCCATGTACATGTATGGCATTGGCAGTAAATTTGAGTTGAAGTCATAGATGGTTGCATTCATCATGTGGTTTTGTGGCAGTTTTATAAGCACAACATTAATGCAGGCCTTTTCGTTTTCCAGCCATGGAGGTGACGGCTGCACGCAGTCGGCTGGACGGCATCCTACAGCACATGGTGGAACAGAGAGAGGATGGGTAAGTTGGGGGGTACAATGCACGCCTACCACTTGTCCAATGTGGCCTCAATGTAAATGTGTATGTGAAAAAATAGGGAAGGAAGACATAGTGGGCCTAAGGCTGCTTGTTAAAATTTAATATTTTTTTATAGAAAATATGACTACTTTCAATTGTTACTTAGAAGTATGTATAGATAGGATGCCAGTTTCATTCCTCCAGTCCAATATGACAATAAACATTTGTTCTTCCCACAGAGCTGGAGATGATGGAGACAAAGATGAGTCTTCTGGGGAAAACAAGTGAGTCTGGTTCAACCTGCCTTCTGACTCATACTTACAGCATGTCATTTGGGATGATATCATTGCCAGTTCTTATAGACTACAGGGCCACACCAGTGGCCTTTACTGAGAAGACACAATGATCTATATGATTATGAATGTAAGTTTTGTAACCTTGCACAATATGATTTTATTAAATTTAGTGACTGTGTAATGATATGTTCTGTGCAGAGAGGTATCTCCATCAGCTGGAAGCTCAGGCAAAAGAGGAGGGTGAGTCTTGTTTATTCTTTTAGTGCTACTGCATTATTACTGTCATGTATGCAGATTATTTCTATACTAATTATAGCAACAACTTAAATCTGTAAGCATATTTGCTCTGTTTCCAGAAAGAAGGTCAAATACACAGTATGCCCTGATGACATGAACCAGGCCTTTCTCTAAATTATGTTTCAAAACTTGCCATGGGTTTTATGTAGTCACTGGTGTCTCTTGCCACACATTGTAGGGGAGGTGGGAAGTCCTCCAGGAAGAGGAGAAAGAAGGATTTGTCCTCAGACCTAAACAGTGACTCAGCACACTTCCCACAACGTAAGGATGCATTTATTACCTATTCAAAATTTAAGCATGGTCCTTAAGTGTACAGAAAAAGACTGATATGTGCAGAACAAGTTAGTAGAAAATAACACTTCTTTCAGAGTACAGGGATATGTTTTTCAAGTGCTTGAGATGTGTTGTTCTAGAGAGTTAGACCCATTTATTTTATCCTGGTATTTCCTCCACAGATACATACATCATGAAGCTGTTTGATCGTAGTGTGGACCTGGCCCAGTTTGAGGAGAGCACCCCTCTCTATCCCATCTGTCGGGCATGGATGCAGAACCAGCCTCACCGGCGTGTCAAGGTAGAGCCGGACTCCTCACCTCAGCCTCTACCAGCGGAGCCTACACCGGGCACCAGTAGTGAGGTACATGTTTCCTGTAGTTACACTATTCATAGGAATGAATGACAGGGATTTTAGAAGTTTTGTTATTACCTCCATGAAAAACAGAGGTATTGTTTTTGGTCTGTGTATGTTTGTGTGTGTCACTTATGCCTGTTTGTGTGTGTTTGTTCTGCAAATTTGTAGTCAACATAACTTAAGAAGGCCTTCATGGATGGTGATGATATTTGGTATGTGGGTAGGTCTTAAAAGGACAAAGGTCAAGGTCAAATTTGGGCCTTCTGGTTTTCAATAGTAAGCTGTATGGGGATAAGTTATCTTAGATTTAAGCTGCATTCTCATATATTTTTAGGAGGGTGAAGATCCAGACAAGCCCAAGGAATACTACAGCCTTCCCGCTCCTGCACCTGGACAGGAAGAAACCACTACAGACGGGGAGGTGCAGGACAGGAGAGTGCCTTCACCAGTACCACAGCCTGATGAAGAGCTGAACATCCATGCTGTAAGTATGCCATGAGTGTGTTATGTTTTCCCCAACATTTGTTGGGTGCGTGCTTGGTTACTAATACTTGCTTGGTTGTTGGGTGGGTTACTAGAGCACAGTCCTGTGTGAAAAATATGGAACCAGATTTGTTTTGCTGCTGTGGCTGTTTTTTTTGGTCAGGGTTATGGTCTCAATTCGAAGTAATATATTGTGAGTCCAATTGTTTCCTTTGTAGGATCAGGAACAGGCGCCGATACAAGAAACTCTGTTGAGCAATCATCTGCAGAGGTGGAAAAAAGTCAGACAAAAGTAAGTCTTCTCAAGGTTTACTGCTGACTCTTGTACTTCATGTTCTGTCATTAATGTGTGGCATACTTCTTGAGTTATGGGGCACACCCCAGTTTATTTTGATGTTACCTGCACCAGTGTGGGTATGCAGAAAAATTATTTTGAGCCCTGCAATGTTTGTTGCATGTGTAACGACCTGTTGTTTTTCCTAGGTGGAAGGAGACATCAGGGTTGAACCAGGCACGATATGCAGAAAGCATGACCATACTCAAAAACATGTACGACAGGACAGTCAGATGAAGGAGAGGGGAGATAATTGTTCAAATGCTTGTCTGTGTGTCTCCCTGTGTTACTAGGTACTAAGTACACATTAAGTTCAGAAATTCTTAGTAAATCACCTATTCGTGAAACCCACTCTGACTGTTCCGGCTTCAATATTTTTCCACGTTTTGTATTTTTTAATACTCTTGCACAAGTGGTTCTTGAATAGTTGCCCATATTTCTGGTAAGGTTCTCTAGTCTAACAGCTACTGAGTGCCTAGTTCATCCTTAACTTTTTATGCAGTGAATTCTGGTACATGGTGCCACATTACATACATTCCAAACAGGGGCTTTGAGTGGCAAATTTTGCTGCATTTTGAGTGGCAAATTTTGCTGGTAGATGAAGCTTAGTTCAACGACATCTTATGTAGTGAAAAATTTCAGAGTTTCACCTTGATTTTAGGGGGTCTGTGTCTCTCACAGACATGGATAAAAAATTTTGTCCATTTGAGTGCTGCATTTTGAGTGGCAAATTTTGCTGGTAGATGAAGCTTAGTTCAACGACATCTTATGTAGTGAAAAATTTCAGAGTTTCACCTTGATTTTAGGGGGTCTGTGTCTCTCACAGACATGGATAAAAAATTTTGTCCATCATAAGCAACAAGACAGATGCTGACTAGAACACTGCTATTTTTAACAGCTCAGTAGTAACACTGTATCCCACGTTCACTGTTCTTCATACAGCATTCACACTAAACACAGGTAATAAAAAATTCATATATGTAGCAGTGTTACATTCAAATCAAGTGTTGAGGTCTTAATAGTTCTCAACTTCTCAGGGAGCTATCACAAAACTGACCCGTACAGGAACTCACAATGTTGTGTTGTAGCCTATAGAAGAACAAGTCTCTTATTTCTCCAATGTACATTTTACTTATCATCCTTGATGATCCCTATGTAAAGCTATGAGGTGGTTTACTAGTATCTGGACTACAAGACTCCATCGAAATCTGGTACACGTAATGTCTACATTCTGTTCATAATTCACAACCACTTGTTTAACAAGAGCCAACATTTGGATGACGGTCATCATTCGCCAACCTGATGAAATTACTTAGGAGTCTGTAGAGTGATACAGTAACACTGCACTTGATGTTGTATGTGTAAGTACATATAACAAAACATGTTTTCTTTGTGTTGTGAGCTACAGGCAAGTCTTCCAGGTTATGATAATCTAGTAGGATTTTGTGTGAAGAGTATATTTACTATGTTTGTACCAATTACAAAGAAACATACTATATCACTTAACAGAACAAGGTCATAGAACAGTGTCAATGACACCCTTGTAGGTAGCCAAAACATTGTCAGAGAAAAAATAGCATGGCTGTGTGGTAAAAAAAAAAGTTGATTTGCTGGTTTAATGTTTGTAAAGCGTTTTAGAACCCAGATGGAAAAATTGAATTGTGTAGATAAAGAATGTAATCTTGAATATTTTGATGTCATTTCATAAATTTGGTCCGTATTGCTACATATATCCTTCAGAAATTGTCTCACAAACCATCCTGTTTTACCAGATAATAACACAGAGACCTATGGATGTGTGTAACCATTACATTGGTAGTTCAAATATGTTGGCTGTGGAAAACAATGCCAAGTTGAATTTCAGTGTTTGAAATGTCTGGACAATGGTAGAAGGAGAACTGTGCCCAGTACATTAGGTAAGACGGAGTACAAGAGGGATTGAAAAATACATTGTATTAGTGTATCCATTGATTTACTCTTATATGACTTTACGTGGCTGTTACAATATTTTGTAAAACACATGTTTATTAATTAACATGAAGTTTTGTATTGAATGGCATGCTTTTGTTAACAGTGTGTGAATATAAATGATATCATTGAATGAATTGAAAATATCACCTTGCATATCTTGTGTATGTTGGTTATTTCAGAAAATAGGATGTTGAATATGTGTGGCATTTATAGTTAGCTGATGTAGCCGAATATGTCACGTCTGAATATGCTTGTACAAAGTGATTCTAATGGTCACTTGAATGCTGTGACAAACCATGTTTGCAACGAATTTGCAACATTAAAATAGCTGAAAAGACGAGAAAAAAATCATGAAAATTCTCTTACCACATGTATTAAACGTTGCACAATAAGGCACCCATTTCATTCATGTATTTCATCAAAATAATGAATGAATGAATGAATGAATGAATGGTTTATTTGTAGTAGTATTTCATAAACCAGTTAATACTGTGGGAGCCCTCACATGGAAAAAGAAGTCGAGGTCGTCCAGCAAGAAACTACATTAATCAATTAATGGACGACACCCAGCTCGACAGGAAAAACCTGATGGTAGAAATGAAAGATAGGAAGAGATGGAGAGCTATCATTGGCACCGAGGAAAGCTCGACCCAGTGAGTGAGTGAGAGTTAACGTCGTTACATGACATTGCACTTAATTACAATAAAATACTAGCCTGGTTACCAAACCTATTATAGCTCCCGAGTCCTACATCCTCTCCGCTATTTGCGGAGAGGATGTAGGACTCGGGAGCTATAATAGGTTTGGTAACCAGGCTAATAAAATACAGCATTTACAAACAGCATTTAACAACAATTGAAATCTTACTCGTGCTGCACAGTCAGGCAGTATTCTAATCATTAAGCAGTCTAGCAAAGTAGGGGATTGGTAAGTTCAAATATCGTTTAGTTCTGATTTTTATTGTTCTTATAACATGTCAGAGTTTCTCGTGTTTCTGTTATGGATCATGCTCACTCTTGGTGGGAGAGCTGCCGGGTCCAGTTTCCTTGCAGGTCGATTCTTCTTTGTTGAAGTGTCTGGAGATCAATGTCCTTCAGATAATAGTTGCAATAAAAACAAAAGTTACTCATAAAAGAAAATACTGATTCCCAGACGATCCATTGCGAAATTCAGCAGCAGGCTAGGATTAATTTTTGTTATCCGAACCGAGTCAGAAGGAAAACACGTCATAGAACACCTGTTCTCGAACCCGTTTCTTACTCGGCGTTCTATCGAACACACCCGCCGTTCAATCTTGGTGACCGTTTCAAAAACAACGTTACTACCAGGGAGTCGTGTTTAGCAAAACAAATGGACTTTTGTGATTCAACCGAGACTGTGGAACCGATGGTAGACCCAGGGGTATAACAGGTGCCAGCATGTCGGGACGTCTAACGGGATTTTATAGGTTCTTGAAAAGTCACGGCATCCAGGATGTGGAGAGCCAGAGGCTGAGGACTATGTCAGTTGAGAACACTAAAGGTGAGTCGCGAATACTCAAATATACTGGGTGATATATGAAACAAAAATCTACCGAAAATTACACCTTACGCTCATAAATTAACTAATCACCTATTCATGGAAGCTACTAGTACTCTGTGCTGGCTTCAAAATTTGTATAGCTGAGAATCAAAACCAGTCACAAACGGCTGCCATGTCAAAGTTAGCACAGGATGTATGTCAAAGTTGACGATGACGATAATTACGAAAACGCCATGTAGCAGTCTTGTATGTACGGAGGCCCGTAAGTACAAGCCTGCGTGTCTGCGCGAATACCTTCCACGTCTGCGCGAATAGCTTTCCTCATCTGCGCGGATACCCTCCTCGTCTGCGCGAATACCTGCGTCGTCTGCACAGTAAAAAACTTCCTCGTCTGCGCGGAAAGAAAGCTGCATCGTCTGTGTAACAGTTGTTTTAGTGTGTTTTTAGATGTTCACGTAGGTCTAGGTACTAGGTGGATTCACCGTTAGTTCTAGTCCAACGCGTCACCCGTACTCTCACTACGATAACTAGACACTTACACACGGGATTCGATCGCACCACCGGGAGATTATTCATTCAACTCCGAACCTAGTACATCATCAGACACTGGCTAAGAGAGAGTAGGTTCTAACAGTCCTATATAGTATATAGCACAGTTGTGACAATCAGCTAGCAGATGGGTATGGTCTAACTAGCGCCTACGGAGGAGCTACAAGTACATATAAAATGTTACATATAGTGAACAGTCGCTAATCAAAGGATTACCACATACCTAATCAGAAGTGAAGTGATGACTTCGATCTACAGAGATAGTAGATCCGCAAAGATAAACTTACAGAACCATTACAAGCTACTGACTCCTAGGAGGTGTCCCGATGCTGTCGGGAGGTGTCCCAATGCTGCCGGGATCACGCCTCAAGTTCTCTCTCCCAGAGATGGGAGAGACAAGGGTCTACATTCGATCTGTTACATGATTGACTAGTCTCTAACAGACTAACTACGCTGAAGAATAATTACCAGGGGAGTTTGGCCGTCTTGTAGGTTTGATTGGCCGCGCAGTTAAAAGAAACTACCTCCCCGCGGGCGAATTCGAACTCCCTTTGCCAATTTTTCTCTCTTTTCTACGATCCGTAAAGGCCTGGTGGAAGCTGTGATTGACAGTAGGTGACCAGATTTGGTACTTCTTTCTGATTGGTTAGAAGTGCATTCCAATGAGCCAAACCGGTTCTAACCGGCCGGCCAGCTTGCCGAAAGGGGTGGTACTGGGAGTTAAAAGAGTTTAGTAGGTCAACATCCGGGACCTCAGACTCTGCTTGCCTTGCTCAAAATCTAAATTTGGAAAAAAACTTGCATTGCCGGTTTGCTGCCCTCCTGCCAACGGAAATGACGTCAAATCTAACTTCTAGTACTTAGATCATTGAACAGCACTACAATTTGTCCAACATTGCAATAAACGATTTTAAACACATCGATAGGGTCTTTTTCATGAATTAAAAAAAATATTCACGGGACAGACACGGACAAAACCCCAGAAAAAGACGGGAATGAAATTGTTTTTAGGCAGTGTGACCCCTGACCTATAATAGGAGATCGTCCATTCTTCAACGAGGCAGCTTTCTTTCCGCGCAGATGAGGAAGTTTTTTCTGTGCACACGACGCAGGTATTCGCGCAGACTAGGATGGCATTCGCGCTACCGCGCAGACGAGGAAGGTATTCACAAAGACGAGGAAGTTTTTTCCGTGCAAACGAGGAACTTCTGGAAGCATATGGTATTCGCGTAGACGTGGAAGGTACTCGTGCAGACATGAAAGGTATTCTCCACTGAGGAGGTTGCATATTCAAAAAAAAATCTCTATTTGTTGTCAGGTTCAACCCATAGTAATCTAATTAACGTTGAGCACAGTGAAAAACAAGCTGTTTAACGCCAACAGGATCACTCCGATGCCTTCCTGTCCTATCATAAAATCAGGGTTAGCCCCCTGTTTTCGCAATGCATCCTGGGGATGGGAAACTCGTGAATGACGTTTTTATGATGGCCTTATGTGTCTTCTTGTGTTTCAGGTGGTGTTCTGGGCCACTTGTTCCAGGAGTTCCGAACGGTGGAACGGATGAAAGTAGAGCTCGGAGAGCAGAAAAAGCGGGTCTCGACCTATCTTCTACTCTCAGCTTACATGGCCGTGCTGCTTACTTTTCCTGACTTGGAGTTGAATTACAGATCGCGACAACTCTTCAACACCGAATACAGCTCTGTTCAAGAGATGTTCTCTTCGCCTCCGGCGATGTTCATAGCGGGGTTTGTCATCAGTATTGTAATGACACTACTGTCTCTGCTGACGACGGCGTTAATATATAGGTACGTTCAAAGAGTAAGACGTGAAACCATTGGTAGATGTTTGTTGCAACTGCCCAATAGTGAACGGGTGTACATTTACTGATGCATATGTTTTCGTCTCGTAAACGATCGTTGTCATTTGAAACGGCCATATACGAGGCAAAAATAAACTTCGGGCTTCGAGCTGAATATGGCATGGAGTGTGAATTTGCACTGCGTAGTGTTTCTCTGTTTTTATTTAGCGAATTGTTCCCCAGCATGACGGACGAATTCGCCTTAGAATTTTACAATCCGGCGTTCACCGACACTACTTTTTTTCCAAAAGAGCAAGAACATCCTTTATTAAATCTCTGCCATATCCTTCAATAAATTAGATCAACGGTCTTGTATCTGCCGTAATAGGTACTACACACTGGAGCTGAACCTACTAAAGATCCGGCACCGTGTTCCTGAGAACGCCAGTCTGTGTAAGCTCCCCTCCCGGTACCCCATGGCGATAGAACTGGTCATCAGCTTCCTCCACGTACCCCCGTTACTCCACCTGTACATACCGCCAGAACTGCAGCTCATCGTGTTGTGCAGAATGTACCACCTCTTCAGATTCTTGAAGGTGAGGTAGTTTTTGCGACTTAACTACCGAGTGCATCAAGGGAAAATCATTTTCTCCTACCGAGCCCACTGCTTGATAGCAGGCAATATGTTACTTTGTAATACAAGCGACGGACATGCTGTTACCATATTTTTGGGTACGTGATACTAGCTTATATTTGATGAAGTGTCTGCCACACATCCTGGTGGTTCTTTGATTCCCAGCTTCAATTTCTATGTTTGAGGTCGACATCAAAGACTATGATCCGTCATCCGTCCTATGGTTAATACCATTTCGTAGGTAGAAAAGGTATAGTGTGGATAGATATGGGTTGTGTGCAGTTTGTCCGATACATGTACGTGATCTCAGAGATGTTTCAAGCTAGGACGGCGATTCTATAGCAGAGAAAAGATCTGCTTTCCTGATCTTGCCTGTAGTGTTACTCATACCTCAGTATTACACTTTTAGAACCACAACACCATCGCCAAGTCCACGTCCATCCGCCTGTTGGTGTCCTTCATGCAGAAGGATCTGAGTGACGCATTTCAGTTCAAGTCGTTCTTCATGAAGCATCCGTTCACGATCATCTTCACGCTGTACCTGTACGACGCCTTCGTGATCGGATACGTCGTGTTTGCTCTGGACAGAGCCGCCGGGCTGTACAGGAGTTACAAGGTAAGTCACAGTTATGGAAGAGTCGCAAAGACGGGTGTTCAAATCAAAAAGTTGTAGTTTAGTGCTCTGCGCGTAAACCTCTTCAAGCAGACGGCCTAGGCTTGGGCTTATTTGCGTTTTTTACTCCGTGAAGGAGGTCAGGACCTCCGGACGGAGTGTTGTAATCGGCTGATTTTTCATGTTCGCAGTCAAAACACTGGGTTCTCTTTGTGTAATCGGCACGCAATTTTATACGCCGTCTGCGGGCATGCCCGTGTTGATGCACGAATGTGTATTTTTGCCGTTGCTGCTTTCGCGGTCAATGTAATATCGCAGACGCACCCCTACAATTACGAGGCGAATTGGAATGGTCCAGAAAAACGCGTTGTTTGGAATAGCAGTGGGGTTCAAAAAAGTTCATGCAGATACGGGGTGGTTTTTATAAGTGGTTCCAGATGTTTTTGCCCATGGTTAAGAGATGCCAAGTTTTTTGGAAGATGTTCGCAGCCAAAACGCATTCTTCCGTACGTCGCATTTCTGTGTAATTTCGCATGTGGTGTTGCATTATGTCCGGGATGATGCACGTCTTTTTATTTTTACCGTAGCTGTTTTGATATTGGAGTAAATGCTTATTTTCGAAACATCCCCATTTCTTTGAAATGGTTTCGTCCGTTTATGCAACTGTTACTGCGCTAATGACGACCAGTCGCGCTGTCCTGATACACCGCGAATGTGCGAGTGTTCCCTGTAGACAGTTCCGGGAGTCATTTTTTTGCACATTCCAGGAGCCAAACCAAAATACGTTCATGAACCGAGTCCAAAAAACCGAAACGTGAAAATCGGATGATCGGACCTGATGTACATTTCTCTTTCTATAGATTGTACACACAATACACACATCTTTAGATAATCTGGCCATGGCAGGTTAAAAAAAAGTAACCCTGAATCATACTAGATTAGCGTAAATGCATGTTAATGTGTTCAAAACAAGAAAAAAATTGTTTCCGGGTATTAATCTCTTGAATCACGGCGCTGAATATTGACGCAAAAATATTTCGGGCATCGCGCGCCCTTCCCGCGTCACGTGTAGGCATCTCGCATCTCTGATTGGTTGTTGCGTCTTAAGATGACTGAGCCGACGCGCGTTTAAACAATTTTTCTTTGTTCGATTTATCACACTTCACAGAGAATTGTCGCCAATGGCTACTTCTTTTTGTTGCAATATATAATACTTCACGGAGAATTGTCGCCTATGGCTTCTTGTTTTATTTGTTTTTATCGGGATTTTTTACTGATATCTTTTACCAGCATGGATACTGTCCTGCCAATTTGGTACTGTCTTGCTGCCACAAAAAGATCTGCTTGGAGATTACACTTCAAGTGCTAGATTTAGGTTATTTTCTTTACCTCTCGCTTAAGACTGAGAACTAGGATAGAAAGGCAGATATCTAGTGAACATGACTGTTGTGTTTTTCTCCAGGACATCACATGGCTAATGGTAGTTACGATGACGTCGCTCGGCTTCGGTGACGTGGTCCCGAACAGCATTGGCGGGCGAGTGTTCATCAGCCTCTCGTCCATCTTCGGCATCCTTCTCATGGCGCTGGTCATCGGGGTCGTGCAGCAGGCGCTCATGCTTACCGAGGACGAGAAAAGGGTTCTGGCGTACGACGAGTATAACAGTGAGTGGTGCATCTGTTGTCAGTATCGCCGATAGCAACGTACTGTAGGTAGCCTCTATCAGGCTTCGGGAGGCGGCTAGAAAGAGTGGAAATTGGCCAAATGGAGAGATAACATGCTGAGGGAGAGTTGGTCCGCTAGAGAGTACATTTTGCCGCAAATACTGTAGGTTATACTGTAGGTATTAATGTAGGCCCTTGTATCATATTGTTCACTTCTAACCCCTGATTTTGCCTTCCTTGTCACAACCAGAAACGAAATAAAAACTCGTGAAACAGAACAGCGAACGAAAATCGTTAAAAAGAGGAAGAGGTACGGACCACATTTACTGAATAAACTTTTACAATGGGCTTTTCAGTTTTTTGTCTCTCATTCTATCGCAGAATTCGTCAAAAACAGAAAGATCATGGCAGCCCGCTGTATCCAGGCCGTGTGGCGTATCCACAACTGTACGAAGCACGGCAGGTACAAGGGGGTTGTAGAGAACGAGTCGGCACAGCGCCTACGCTTCAAGCTGCTACTCCATCAACTGTACGTGACTCTCAACGACTGGCGGCAGATTAGTAGGTTAGAAATCGGTGAGTTTTACTGGACGTGGGGCCATGATCATTACACTGCTTTTCTAAAAACTAAAAATATTTACAAAATAGCGATTTCATTGATGTGTCCATTTATTCTGGCTGCTTCTTTCACTTTGTACTCGACTGTAAATATTTCCCTCAGACGCGCGACTGCGTGACTCCATGGTGGAGACTTTGAACACGCAGATGACCAACGTGGACCGGAAGGTGGAGAGACTGGAAACGAGCCTGACCAACCGGAGGAGATCATCCTTTGCGCACGGTGCGGTCCCGCTACAGCAGGTAATTCTACAAGTATGCGTAAATGATACTTTCTAATGTACCACAGAAATGCTTAGAAAACTTGTTCCGGTTTGCCGCTACGGTGGTGTCATCCTTCATACCTTTGCAACTGTTCATCCTCACCACAGCCCCGGAAAGACTCTGCTTGTCCGGCACCTCCGACGTTGCCGACCACACACGGACCTTTCCATGTGTCTCCACCTACACCCTCACCGCTACCGCCTCTCTCTGGTAGACTGCCCCCGATATCTGCCGGTCCGACCAACGTGGTGTCTCTTCCCCCCATACCTACATCTCCAGTCACAGGCACGTCCGGCGGGGCACCAGTCCTCCCAGAGGACCAGGCCATTGAATCCATACTGAAGCACCTGGAGCAGTTGGAGCAACGCTCGAAGATCTTCTTTGACGTAAAGAATTTTACCTTCCTACGGTCCTATCCAAGTCAGGTCAAGTTTACGGCCTATATGGAATGATTTTTCAGCCTACACATACAAATAAAGCTCACAGATATACAGATAACGTTACAATCCCCTCCCTCACGTTGTAGTAAATGTGTTCTCCGTTAAGATGTAAGACAACAATGATAAAGATAAAGCGCTTGACTGACGTTTGTTGTGCACTCATGCAGAATGTAATGGAAGAGACGGCTGCCATCCGGCTCCTGACCGTCTCGGCGATGGGTCGGAGGGGCTCCAAGTCCCGCCGAGAGAAGGACGGCCTGCCCCAGGTCAGTCTACCGTCACTGGTGGAGGAGGCAGAAGACAGCTAGGCACCAGCACGGGCACTGGCAACAGCATTCGTTGCTTGAAAACCACTGAACATATTTTTTTCACGGTATAGTTAGTGTTTAATAACATCACATTGTTATAGGTGTTCGGTGCCATGATAGGTGTCGTTTAAACCTTATAAAGATCATAACGGAAGAGGTACGTTTATAAACCATAGTATGTCCATAACTTGCATGTCTTGTCCTTGGTACTGAAACTACTTTACATAACATTTTTGAAGAAAAATTGAACCCGTTGACAGATATATCGTAGACCCAGTGTAATAATGTACATCAAGAACAGCTTTATTCAGCAGGAGAATCTCATTGAATACAAAAATATAATATAATTTCCCAAATAGTTTGCTTGATTGTTTGAGTATATACACCGATTGTATTGTATCATATTAAACAATGTGTATTCTTACTTGGTATATGGCTGACTACATGTTTGCTCCACTTCAATGCACATTTTATTCTTAAGCAGCAATTTGCTCTTAACCATAATGATTATATTCAATAGGCTTAAAACTTTGGTTTCTGATAGAACATTTACAGGATGCTGTGGCCAATGAAGACAAACCCACAAGACAATTTATACAAAAGCAAGACGAAAATATACATACACAAATACCGATAGTGCTCTTATGTTTCAGTTACAATAGTATTGCTTCTGGTACAATAACATATACTCTTGATCTTCACAATTGTGTTCTTATTGCAGAACACACTGCTAAAGTACTTATGTATAACAGTAGAAGTTACTTTTGCAAGCTGATGCATGCAACAAAGTTGCATTAATGCATATGGGAAGTACATTGCACTAAAGGCTTAGTCTACCAAACACTTCACTCTGCAGGCGGTAACAGTGGCTGTTCTCAGAAATACATTATGTACAGGTCATATGAATGTTAGGTCAATGATATTGCAGTTGAAGGTTCAAATCAACATTCCAAACAAAAGTGTGTGTTACCAGCAAAATTAGATGCTGCTGACTGAGAATATTGGAGGTAGTTAACACAATGCACATATAGATTTATAGGCACATGTATTTACTGATGAGTTGTAGATAGGTACAAAATTTTGTTACAGATCTATCTGTAGTCTTTAAGTCAAGTTGATACCTGTAATGTGGAGAACAGGACTTTGTTAAGAATTTCTTTTGATAGCTATCCTAATATTTAGGTTCTTGCACTATGACATTGGAACTAATCGTTGAGCTGACAGAGTCCAGCCACACCACGGATGATCCAGTGGTCCTGTGGTTGGTCAGTTGGCAGCTGGATACTCAGCACGTAGTTAGTGGAGTGACCAGTCGTTGAGAGGGTCCCACGCCGTGCACTTGTCTTATACACTGTGCATGGAACAACAAGCACATTCATTATATTAGAGGGACATACTTAGGTGTTAGCTCTCATTCTATTTTTCTGTTTAAAGTTGAATAGCATTATACCAAGAGAGTTGTTTGTGAGATTTATTTCTTTGTTTGCAGCTTTGAGAACATAAACAAATGATAAGAAGAAATTTCTTTACCTGGACACTCATAGGTTGCCTTTTCTGTGATTTCTGATATCTTCCCTGGTTTCAGCCATATGACTGGCAACGTGTCATACAGGATTTTGGGTAGAGACTCTGCTAGAAGTCCTTTCTGCCGGTCCCAACGTGCACCCTCGAGGAACAGGCCTCTTACATACACTCCATCAGTCTAAGGGACAAAATGATGTATATTAGTCTGTGCCTATTTATCAAAGTTTACTATAACACTTTACACTGTTGTATACTGTAATCATTGTGACAAGTTAACTCTAAAATGTAGTCTTAGATTGATGGTCTACTTACTAGTGGTAGTATTGTTTCTCTAGGATAAATGTAGTATGGAATGATTTTACAACAGATATATTATATATATAGTACTACTTAATTTCCTGTATTTATTACATATTATGTTAAGTTATAATTTATGTTACATCTGATTCTCTGTACCTTTTGTTTTGATTTTGTATTTTGTCGGTGCCTTATAAGCCCATATGGGCTGGGCGGCATATTGATCGCAATGGCACGAAAATAAACAGTCATTCATTCATTCATTCATTCATATATATTTCTCTTCACCAGTGTAACAGCCTCTATAGGATTCTGTCAGTAAAACCTTCAACTTGGGGGATAACTTTGAGTGAGGAAACTCTACAGGAGGGTAAAAGTTGCAATCAGTATTCAAGGCCCTACCGGTTTGCCTGGCATCTTCCTCTCCTCCTTCTGGACAAAGAACTCGAAGGCCAGGTGGTCGATGGGGATCTTGTACTTCCTGGCATAGTTCTGTATGGCACCAGTCATGAAGGAGTGGGTGAAGTAGAAGCCCGATAACCAGAACACGTGGGGAGGACCGCCATCTACCCACAGCTGGAAGAACTGCAGCCTGGCGATCAGGTCAGCGATGTAGCTGCCCAGTGGTTTGAGAGATGGGTAGGACTTAGAAGCCCACATGGCTGGGATCTGAAATAAAGAGAGGAGAAACTTAGAAAATCATATCAAAATAAGAATTATCACAGACTGTGACATCAATATTTCTGTGTCTGTTCCAAATACTTCATTTGCAGTACTTATTGAAAGATGTACATTTTTACTGTTCAAGGCAGGATGGTCATTGTCTCCGACTTTGACTTCCAAATGCCAGTTAGAGCTGGCTATCCCTGGTAAACTCCTGATGCTACATCAAAATATGCCTGTTGAATCAGTAACTGGTGAAGCTTGTAATTACCTTTCCCACCATCATGCTGTCGAACACGTCCTCCAGTTCGGAGGACATGACGACCAGCCCGTTGGTGGCCTTGCGGATGTCCTGCAGACTAGTGCGGATCACGGTGATGAGGCGGTTGAACCGGATCAGCTCCTGAACCAGCACAGTGTTCATGGACTCCTCATAACGCACTGGATACTTGGTCTGAAAATATACAGGATGACAACTTGAGTTATGAAAGTAATACAATGTACAAATGTATAATGATGCATGTTTCTACAGAAAAGTTAGAGTATTGAGCTAAGATTTGGGTGATCTTTATAATTTGTGAACCTCCTCGTCCCGGGAAATTTGCAATATGTTGGATTTACAATATGTTATGCCATGGTGAAAATAACTGTAATATTGTGTAGAAAATCTGTAACTGTATGCAACTTTCAATATGGAAACATTGTTCTGTAAGGCTTTTTTTGCCAAACAAACACCATTGTCATGTTGCTGCTACTTTTTTGGGTAATGATAGATTCAAACAGTGTTAGCAAGTTTAATATCTCTCAGTCATTACCTGCACTTGTTCCAAGTTGAAGTTCGGAGGGATCTTGGAGAGGATGTCGGAGGCCAGTTCTAGGATGAGGTCCTCGGCAGACTTTCCTCCACCCGCTGCCTGGCGAGGCTGGGTCAGCAGAATCCCGTCCAGTAGCTGCTGCGTCTCCTGCTGTTCCTTCGAGATGTCTGCGTTCTCATGGAGACCAAACACCTCGGGGTGGGGCGTCCACGGCAACGCTCGCACGTACTCAACAAAGGAGTCGTAGCTACCTTGCGAAGGTGCGTAGTACAGCCCGCTTGGGGACAGCTTGTACTGATCGTCCTGGGTGATTTGCGGGCAGTAGAAGATGGCCAGTATGCTGGTGAGCAGGCGACGGTCACGCTCGTCGGTCACCCGGCCTCCGTAGTTACACTCCCCGGTTAGATACGTCAGGGCGTCCAGCGGAACCTTGTCGTAGTCATTGAGGAACATCTGCAGCTGCTTGACGCTGATCCTGAGGTCGGACTCGTTGAACTCGTACGGAATGTTCCACCCGAGGGGACCGAAGTTACGCCGCTCCTGGACCAGAGCGTGGAAGAAGCACAGACCAAACAGCAGCTTCTGCCAATGCTGTGATAGATACACAAGTACTCAGTGTAAGTTGAATTTCGTAACATTATGCATTCAAATTACTATTCTCTATTACACTATTTTACCATTTAGAGCTTGCTTTTAAGTGTCAGATTTGCCTGTCTTATACAGTATTACATTTCTAAAGGAATGCCACCAAATCCTAACATACGCAAAATAGTTGACAATAACACCACATACCTTAGGTTTATTGCATCCATTGAAGAAGTCTGGGTCACTGATGGGATCATTCAGGTAGGACCTGAGCAGGTTGGCCTTCAGACCTTTGGGTGGTTCATTTGTCATCTTCACACCATTCTGCAGAGCTGAGACAGGGAAGGCTGGGGAGGGGTAGGACGTCAGCCATAACCGGAACTCTGACTTTGTCTTCTCTGGATCTGTGATCACCTATCAGGAAAAAAAACAACAGGATATTCTCACATACTTGCCACCGGGTTGTTTCCATTGAAATTGGTTCATAGTTTGATACATCTTAGAGCTATTTGATGTTATTTCACAGAAACTTTAATATCAGATGTAAAGTATTAGGGTGAAAATTTGATAAACTACTTAATGACAATTACAGTGATTCAAATTCTTTTTCATAGAGTTTGTTGATGTTCTATCAACTCAGTTGCTACATGTATGCGAGGGATGCAATACTGCAGATCTGTGCACGGCAGCAACAATTTTCCACATTCAGGCTTACCTCCTCACAAATTCTCTCCAGTTCTGGCAGCCAGCTCACAGCTAAGTGACAGTTCTGCAGGACTACCCAGGTCCCCTCAGCAACAGCCTTCTCAATCATCTTCTCTGCGATTGGTCCCTGCCCCTGGCCCAGGGAGATAGTCTGTAGCCTGGAACCTCCCATTCCTGGTGTAGGGGTGATTTAGTTCAAATCCACATTATTATAAAGAATATCTAATATTATGTCATTCAATGGTCTATACTTAGGTTAATATCAAGAGTAGATTTATAAAATGTTATTTTAAAGGCACCCAAAAGGATTTCAGGGAAGTAAAACTGGATTTTCAAAGTCTATTGTTTGTTCCTTTCATATACTTATGTAGTTAAAATGGTTTCTTGTTTTGTATCAGAGGCCGGTCCAATCTATTTCTTAGTGGTGCCAAAAAATAAAGGAACTTTCATGTAGTTTTTTGGGGGGCTATTTTAAAAGTATAAAATGATGACAAAAATGTGCTAAGAAATGGGAGCTAACAGTGTCAATATCAGACAGGTTGCCTATTCAGATATATTTTTCATTTTGCTGCCATGAAATTGCATTTTCTAAAATGGAAATTTCTGCACCTTTCTCTTCAGCGAATTTGACGAGTCCTGCCATTGGGTCAGCACCGGGGGACAGCACAAAGATGAGGGGTGAAAAGTGGCTGGAGTCGGCGTAGCTCAGCGACAGGTCAAAGGTCGGGGGCTCCACATACGCCTGCCCCATCCTGGTCACTATGAACTTCTGTACAACTGGAACAACCTGGAGGGAACAAAAATGGGAGAGGAAAAAAGAGATGTTTCCCATAATTGTGATCACATTTGACTTGTTCCTTTAAAACAGTAAGACACACTAGACTTATATGTATCTAACAAATTATATGGCATTTTCATATCAACAAATCAATTAACCAACCAATCAATCAATCAATCAACCAATCAATTAACCAACCAACCAACCAGTTGATGAATCAATAAAAACTGGTTTATTGATAAAAAAGGCATTGCTGCCAAAGGCTGAATTGCGCCTTCGGTATCAACTATCAACTCAGTTGCTATGCATGGGATGCAGTGCTTTAGATATGTGCAAGACTTTTTATAATGTAAAACTACATGCTACATCAAAACAGAAAAAGCATTCATTGTTGATTTTAGCATGCTGACCATCATATAAAGGAAGAAGAGAATCTCACCTTGTCTGGCCGGATGCACCGTAACACAATAGCCTTCTCCAGAAAACTGAGTTTACTGTTCCAGGGTGCAGGTAGCTCCTCCTCATGGGGGCAGTTGGAGTCATAGATGCTCTTCCAGGCTCCCAACTGGGGAAAACCATAGAAATAACACATTAGCATCACTGTAAAAAAAAAAATGTTTTGCCGGGGGTGATCCACCCCTGTGGTGTTGCCAAAAACTATGTTTTTGGCAACACCACAGGGGTGGATCCTTTGAAAATTACAATATAGACCACACTATAATTTATTGTACTTTCTAGCCAAATACAAAATTGATGTAATGGACTTACATTGGATTTGAAATGCTGCATGAAACCTTGGAATGCAGTGAGATCTGAACACCTCACAATCTCATTCCAGGACTTGTCTTTCAACCAATCAGGAGCAGGGTTAGGATAAGGGTTGTCAAGGGCAACACCCCCAGTCAGGAGGAACCTCCACTCATCCTCATCTACTGCCCCTCTGTAAAAAAATATAGATATAAGAAGTTTAGACAGGAGCTTTTAGTTAATATATGGTGCCAAATGGCATTGGTTACCTGGGGAGTTTAGGCTTAAAGTGTAAAAATGATTCAATGTAACGTGAGAAATAAGAGAAAAACTTACTCCACCATCCTGGCTAGCCCAATGGACAGTAGGAAGGAGAATAGGAGCTTGTCCTTCTCAAACAGGGACCTGCACACGTTCTGGTAGATGCTGGGTTAACAAAAAAAATGGACAGGATAAAGGCATTTTTACTAAAAAGACTTGGAGACAACAGGCAAAGTTATAGATCAACTATTTGGTAGCAACATATTTTCATGTACCAAACACGATATGTAGAAGCAGAGTTCTCACCTATATGTGAAGTGGTTGTTGAGGTTGGTGATTCTCTCCTCTAGTACAGAAGATGGAGCACTGTTCAGGATGGACTGTGGGAGAGGAAAATGAAAAGTGAGCATTGTTTACAGACTAAGGCAAAATTTCATGTACCTTGTAATATATACTGGATATTCATTTCTCTGCTTCTGGGTCTAAGAAAAGATATGATAAATATCGGTGTTTCATACCTGTAGATATAGGTTGATGAACCAGGTGAGGCTGTACTGGTACATGGGCTCAATGTTGGCCAGGTCTGAGATGGCAAAGAACAGGACAGAGGAGTGCTTGGCAACCTGGAAGAACAAAAATAATGATTATAATTATATCAGGCGATTAGTTTCACTTGACACCACATTTTGTAATTGTTAGTAATTGTTTCATATATTTTCTATGAAAATACTTCTATGCAATGGCATTTTCAAAGGAAAACGAACGAATACAGTTTGTGTTACCTTGCTAAATTGGCTAAATACTCACCGGCTTGTATCCATTCCTGGTATCATCAATCTCCCGTTCTGTCCGTGAGGCCACCTCCTGTTTCTCACTGATCTCCTGACTCAGAGCCTTGCTGGAGGACAGGATCTCTATGGCAGTCTCATCCTCAAGGATATTGCCTGAACAATAAAGATGTTGGCAAATGATAAGACTAGCTAGTAGTAAGAGGACTAACCAGACACTGATAAATGTAATTTAAAAGTGAACAGGTGAATAGTTACTTGCTTGCTTGTAATAAATTTATCATTAATTGAATCACAAGACAGTCTAACATTTAGGCAAAAAGCAATGACTGACTCCCTACCTTGAGATGTTGCCAAGACTTCTAGAATCTTGTCCTCTATCTCCTTGAGGAGTTTCTTGTTCCGAGCCCCCTCCAGGATGAGCTCACTCTTCTCCTCCTCCAGTTTGGGTTTCTCCTTGGCCGCGACGATCCCCAGCAACTGGTCCTCCAGTCCAGGGGGAGTGATCATGAAGTTCAGCAACGTCACCTAAAGGTCATCAAGTTTTTCATCAAAAACACAACAATGACACAACTTGTTGCAAACATACAAAATAATCACTGTTGAAATATTCAGACTAGGTTCTGAGAATGTCAGTACAATGCATGTTACTGACCTTGACTGATGTCTCTGGTAGGTAGTGTGGGTTTCTCATCCTGGTTGTGATGTAAAACTTGAAGTCCTTTTGAGAAAAATAGTGACACAAAATTAATGTAAGTCATATTTTAAACAAAATCAATATGATGTTGTCAATTACAACCAAGTTACTGTTACAGTAGTGAAGTCGAGCCAACTATCATAATACCAATCATCCTGTGGAAAGCTGGTCTTGTCCTAACATCATCTAACCTACCCTGCTGTACTCAATGACGTTTTCTCCCAGCCTGATGTAGTCCATCCCGCTCTGTTTGAAGGTCTGTCTGAGCAGCAGAGGTTCCAGGACTGGGTCCAACTCCTCTCCAACATTCTCTAACAGGACGGGGTTCCCAAACTGTATACAGTTCTCCAGTGTGCGTGTGTACATGGCATCGCTCAGCTTGATGATGTGCAGTTTGTTGGGTTTCTCCAGGTTTTTCACCCACTTGTTGGCCTGGCCCTGAGGGTCAATCATCAGTGGCCACCGCTTTGCATTGCTGACAATTATGGCATTGTCCACTGAGAATCTGGAAAATGTGGAAACAAAAGTAATGATTTTGATGATCCATTAATATTTGACTATTTTTGTATGTTGATGTCATGAGAAGCATAATAATAATAAGGGGGAAAGAACTAAGTTAAACATAAATGATGTATGACAGAGACGTCTTTTCAAGTCAAAGGCCAAAAAACATCTGTCCTCACTGACTTAGTACACTGACCCCAAAACATTTGAGTGGCTCTCATGAGCCTTGTTTTGTGGTAAAGATGAAATAAAAAATAAATAAATGAATAGAATCTTTGTCGTTACAGTGAGGAATGTAGATAGATAGATAGATAGAGAAGCATATTTTACTCAATTAACCTTTCTAAATTTGATCAGAAAACTTGCTGTTCTCAACTTGTTTCTAGACAACAAGTCTCAGTACTGTCGTTTGTTATGCTGAAAGATACAAGTTTCAAGATTGCTCAGTTACAGTGTACTTACGAGTCATTGGGCAGCCCGGCCAGCTGCCAGTCGCGGACCTTGACCGGATCTCCCAGGGTTTGTGAGAGGGAGAACTTGTCTGACACGGGGATTCCCTTCTCATGACACATGCTGTACCATTCACCAAGGATATCCTGAAGAAACAACAGTGATTAGTTTAGTTGTAGATAATAGGTTCATCACTAAAAAGTATGAGGCATTCCCAACCACCCCCCCAAAAGCAGTGTCACATTGGTATATATCATGTGATTAATCTTATGTAGTTTAGTACCACAGTGACTATGATAACCTGCAAAGTAGATTTTCAAATTCTATGCATTAAGAAGCTAAATACAAGCATTGTGTCAACTTCTGTTTCTATAAGTCAAATTCTCAAAGGAAAGGAAATGAGGAAGGAAAGGAAAGTGAGCTTGATCCAGTTTTAGCTTACTGAAACCTAATCTCCCACTGGTTGTAACAGAGAAGACAGATGCTATGTACAATACTTACAGGTTCATTGTATTGGGGAAATTTTCCTAGCTATTTTTGACAAGCACAATGAACAGTGGACCACAGCTTATGTGAGTGACCCCTTCTAGTAGCATGCATGACGGGTGAGTGACAACAGCTGGGATTCAAACTCCCAACCTCTTGGTCCAGTACATACTACTTGATCATCAGATGTCGATGATTATCTCTAACCTACCTGTCTGAAGGAGAGTGTGAAGGGTCCGAGGTAGGCGACCACCCCTGCTGACAGCAGCACGTCTCCCACGATGTTCTGGTAGGTGTCTGTCAGCTGATGTACCAACTGGGTCCAGCGTTCCTTCTCTCCACCCAGACCGGAGATCAGCTTTTCTGCACGGATCAGCTTCACCTTGGTCAACTCAATGTTGTCTTCCAGTTGCTAATTAAAGGTAAACAATGTTTTGTTTGTGTTAACTTCAAAAGTATCAAAATTTAGGTCTATAAAAAAGGTCCCGTTCCACTCTGTGCAGAGCATAGGGGTGGTGCCCATCTCCATTTCTGTAGCCCTTGTGCCACACAATTGTGGAATCACTACAACAAGGTAGTGTTGAACTCACAAACTCCCCGTTACAAAGTGAGCATTCTTTCCAATTGAGGGAAGAATGCACTGGTTCAATAGGTCTATACCTACATTTAAAAAGTAAAATAAAGCTAATACATCAATGCAACCATCCAAACTTTATTGAACAATGGTATCAGTATTTACATGTCAAACCAGCATGATTTCTAACAGTGACTAAAAGCATATAGGGGAAAATGGTACCTTTTTGTCATTCATTTTCTGTCTCAGATGTTCGTTCAGCAGGTCCAGCTTGTCCGTCACCTGCTTAAGCTCCGCCCTCTTCTCCTTCAGCTTCTCCATCTGGACTCCCAGAATTCCCTCTGCTTCTTTCAGACTCTCCCGCTTTGGTGCTACCACCTAAAACAGAGCAAACAATTTCAATTTTATATTTTGTATTTGTTAACACGATTTTGTGATTACATCATGTTTTTTGAACAAAGGATCCTTATAAGCACATTATGTGCTTTCTGTCCAATGCTCCCAAGTCTATGTGAATAAATACCAATTAACAGTTAAACTTAAGGCACTGTGTCACTGTCTGGAAAACTTTAGAAAGAACCTTCTGATAAAGTTCTTCTGTCTTTTTGTAAACTTGCTAAAGCCTTGAGTGGTTCTTAGATCTTTTATTCTCACTCAACATTCAATAGAACCAACAGTTTTTTGTCGAGAATATCTGATGGTATCTACTCACCTTTGCCACCCTACTGTAGACTTCAATAGCCCGGACCCAGCTGCACAGACCCTGGCAGGCTGACGACACATTTTTGATGATGGCAGGGTCAAAGTCAGGGTTGCTGATGTAATTATCCCTGATCTTCTTTATAACTGGGTCGGGGATGTGGTCTTTGTCATACTGTTTGAGACTGTCCAAGAACTTCAAGTCACCCAGCATCTGTGAAACGTAATAGTAGCAATGATGGGGTCACTAATGAGTTGAAGCTTGGAACGTTACAATATAACATCTCTATGACCCCCATCCCAACTTCAGACTTTTCATTACTGTTGGTGGCTACTCTAAGAATTAAAACATTCACTGATGTTCAATGCTTTTTTGAAATGTATCTGTTCAGATACACTTAAACAGATAAAACTAGTCAAATCTATGACTATCTACATTGTAAATATGATTGAAGTCAGGATGACTACCAGTAGTGTATGTGCAATAACCTACCCTTTTAGCAGCAGGCCAGTAGTCTTCGTAAGGCTTCCCATTGGAGTCTGTCTTCCTCTCAGATTTAACACCCTGCAACATAAAAATGATTATGATTATTAGACATAGTAATAATGCATTTATGCTAACCCTTTATGCCAAAAAAGAAAACAATAGTAAGTCCCTTTCTTGAGTTTTTTGTACAAAGGAATTAAGGAAAACTAATAATATGGTGACGATAAAGCATTGAAGAATATTGTAAGGGTCAGGTAGTTCTTGGTAATGTCCAGAAAGAACAAAAAGATGATGAGATTCTATATCTAGTTAATCTTGGATCTAATGACAAAGTACCTTGAGGATACAGATGGACTCCATGACCAGTTTGACCCCAGGAGGAGGGTTCTGCATGTGTTTGACCAGGGTGATGTCCTGCTGCTTCAGGGTGTTCAGTGCAGCGATGGCGGCATTCATGGCAGGCATGGCGATGGCCAACTTGTCTTCACACTCATCCTAGGAATCCAATGCAAGTACACAAGATTTGATATTGGTCACGTGTATGTCATTATTTGTACACATATCATTTGAAATGCATTACACTGTATTTCTTAAATGCAAATGTGTGATAAAAAGAATCTTTCCGCAGAGGTGTTGTTAATTGATATTTGAGTGTAGATGATGTTTTAAAAAAAAGTTCAATTTCAATATCCAGAGGTAGGACATATTGTTGTACTACATTGTACAATTAGATACATGAACATGTACTTAATCTCCAAGCAAATGGCTGCAAGACAGTATCAAATACGCTAGCATGAAAATGACATCAGTACAAGAAAGCTAGATAAAAATGGTTAAAAACACAAAAAGAAGTCAAATCCTTAACCTCTGCTTGAAGAGTAATATGCACTATTAGAATACCCACCCTGATGGCCTGTGCCTCACTGGCAGCCTTGTTAGCCTCTGCCTCATCAGCTTCCACCACTTTCTTCACCTCCTCCACCTCCACAGACTCCTGTGCAATGATCTCCAGCAGCTCTTCTGTCTCCCGTTTGCTGTTCTCCAGCTGTGGCTGCAGGTCAATCAACTCCTGCTGCATCACACTCACCTGTGGGGAGAAACAACATCGTACATTATAACTTTCAAACTTTTTTTGTTCAATCCTAACAAGAAAGGTAACATTTGCAAAGCAAATGCATAATGTTTACCTTCAAATGGGATGGTCTAGCTCAACAAAATAGGCTGCTCTGTTCATTCTTTCTGTTCATTCATATATACATATGGTGACCAGCCCCTCTATCTCTGTCTTGTAACTTGCTACATAATGTAATCCAACGCCACAGGGTGCCACCAGAAACATATAATATTCAATCCTCTTGAACAATTTTATCATCATCGTCACCACTGCAGCACACCATGCAAACTGTTATTTAAAGTGATATTATGTAGAATTTTGACTATTTTAGAAATCTTTCTTTTACACATTTTCTTGCTCTTTACACCTACCTGACTTCATGATGACATTTGGGGATTAACATATCAACGTCGTTTCGCCGCAAATACGCGCTGGAAAACTGCGCACTCCGCGGCGCTAGCGCGGATCGCGGCCATGTTTGTTTACATCCGACCGCGTCCGAGCATTCCCGAATCCAGGTCACCGTAGAACACGTTATTCTCTAAAATACGGCATATGCCGGGTCACGATTTGACAACTGTCAATAGTGCAACAAAAACACCTTAGACATACGTAACGTTTATACTTTTTCATATCTACAGGATTTGCCTAGTACAACAATGTAGATATTTCGTGCATTACAAAATGACACCGATCGTTATGGCCTTCCAAACATTAGCATTTTTGGTCAGTTTATCTGTGCTTATCTTTTTTTACTGGCCAACTGGATCCCATTAGCTAATATCACAGTGTGATAGCCCACATCTTCACCTTTACATCGATACCAAAGTCCCCTGGTTAGTTTTAGGACAAACGGGTTTGCCCCAAAGAAAACCGCGACGGTGCACACATCGCGGTGACGAAATTTTAGCCCAGTTGTAGCTACCGGCGCACACCATTCTGAGTTTCCGCAACATTTTGATACATTTAGCGTAATGTCATAAACTTCGTTCCTTGGTATGAGAAACTGTATGAATGTGGTTACCACATGCAATATGATAAGTGACATGATAACTTTCAAGTATATACAAAAAGAGTATTTTAGATTAGGTACTGACCCTTCAAAAATTGGCAAATTTGAAGTCAATCGGCTTCGAACTCCAGCGTTCGAAAGCGTTCGAACCATGGAACCCAGACACGCGCCGGAAGTTGCCGAAGATTTCCGAACGAAAACCGTTGTTTGTTTACATTCTATTTATTGTGGCACACATAAATACGTCTGGCCTTGCGCAACTTATTCTCGCGCTGCGCTGAGTTGCCGAAAAGGCGAAATAGCGACGCTGATACGTTGAAAGTTATCGAAAATGACAATCTACATGAGAAAATTTCAATTATTTGTATTTTCAGTTTTGGCGCGAAAATCCTACATAATATCACTTTAATGTATGCATTATCAATGTTCTTATCAATAAGCTTCCTTTCTGACATAACTCACCTGAGATGAAGCGAAGTCCAGTTTCTCCAGCCCGACAGTGTACCTGTTCTTCAGAGTCAGGATCTCCAGTCGTTTGGTCTCCAGCAGGGACTTGAAGGTCTTTATTAGCTCCAGGTAGGAGGTGGGAGTCACATAGTTCCTCCTTCTTAGACTTGCAAAGAACCTACAACAATTGAAAACAAGACACGGTTATAGAGAATCAGAATGTCTAAGGACAGTACTGTTTCTGCCAGAGATGGGCTAGGACATGGTTCTTACTGCAGATATGTTGGAATGAAAGGTAAAAACAGTTCTTTTCTGCATGGTGATAGTATATTTGTTGTTTAAGTATCACTGACATTCCTATTTGCATCTTTTCATTACAAGAAATCAAGAGAAATGCTAGATTTCCGACACTGCAGATGTGATTATAACAGTTTCAGCACCAAGGACAGGTCCAACAACAACTTTTCAATATGGACTTTTTATTCCACTGTTTCTGTAGAATAATGCTTCAGAATCTGTGACCATTAGCAGATGTAAAGACAAAATGATGAAGAAATGCCCTGTTTGATATTCTAAGGCAGACTTTGAAAAAAAAACTTTGAGAAACAAGTTAGAAAAGTCTGGCTATCGGGTAAATGAAAAAGAAGCTGACTCAAAAATCTTCATCAACTGTTGTCGGTTTAACCCCCATCTCCCCTGAAAATCTAAAACAGTTCTCATGTCCCTCCCTTACCTGTCAGAGAGTGCCCTGACACTCTGGTGGAAGTGTTTACACATCACCACAGCCTCGTCCCGCACCTCCTGGGACATCTCCACTTCATCCAGGAACTTGTTAGCTACCAGTTCCAGGGCATCCTCGGGCCATGCCTACATGACAATACAGGTATGAAATACATTATGCAAAACTAGTTTAAAACATTGAAAACATTGTTACAATCCTGTTTCATTGATTATTCATTGATTATATGGGAATCAAAAGCAACAAGAAAGGTGTCAAAAAACACCTTGGCGACACAATATTTTCACTACATACGGTAACGTACACACACACATCACAAGAATTTCCCTCATTCAATATAGAGACATAATTACAATAATTTTGCATTTTGACTTTGAAATACTGTCTTAATAATAAGAAAATTGCAATGTCTCGTACATGTACCTTCACTAAATCAAGGCCAAAAAAATGTATACTTGAAACAAAGGACCCCTTATAGCTTGTTTTTTGGCCAAGAAGAATTAGAAGCTTCCAGTATACATTTTTAAAAAATCGACTGACCTTAAACCAGTCAATAGTGCAGCAGTTGATGAGGGAGGGGAACATCCGCAGACGGTTTCTGAAGGCGTCGCCAATGGGGCTGAAGGCCAGCACAACGTGCAGGTGGCGCCGCACACGCTCTATAAACTTATTGTACATGTTGAGCGGGGTGGTCTCAATCTGCTGCTGCTCTGTCTGAACCAACTGCTGCATCTGAACATGAGAAACACAAATATTCAAAAGAAAGAATTGTAATAACAAGATTGGGACAATGACATCAAACTTTAGTTTTTGTTCTTGTGAATCTGTTTCAAACACAATTGGAATGATTGTCTTGTATGTTGGATATCTTTACAAATGTTCATGGTTTATCTAACACCAGCAGTTCACCAGTGCCCTTCAGATATACACAGAGGAAGTCTTCGTGAAGTTACATGTTAACATATCACAAGACACCAGCTGTAGAAGAGGGATGTTAAACGTTGAAGTATAACCCTGCACAACATAGCAAATACCCATACACCAGCCCAATCCATGGGGTTAAGAACCCTATGAATAATTTTCAAATCATGCAACATTAACACGACCACGTCAGTATTGTACCATATTGGGATATTGGACATTTTCCTGCCTCTCTTCTTCCCTGAGCTGTGAGAAAGATAGGGGTTTATGAATTGGTGTTTATTGTACATGCTGTACAATAACAATATGATCAATTCTGTTGAAGACAGATAACAGAGCAGCAACTCAAGTACATTACATGACTTAGTATCAATTAATAACATCTAACAGTTATCACAGTTGGACTTTAAAATTCAATGACAGGGAAGATCGTGCAATAACTACAGTGTCAAATTCTTCTACTATTGATAGACAAAAAGTGCAACTTTACCTTCTCTATGATTTCCAACCTCTCCTCATTCTCATATAGGTTTGGAATATCTGCTGTGTTCAGAATCATGTTCACATCCTCCAGGAAGGACTCGTCCTATAAAAAGATATAAAATGCAATATGTCAAATATCAATATACAATGAAGGTAGTACTAAAATATCTAAGGGACTGTAAGGAAAGAAACCAGAAGTAAAATGTAGAAGATCATTGATGCTTTTTTGACAATAGAGGACAATAAAACTACTGTTTTGTAGACAGAAGACAGTGGAGAAATCTCGTTTCCCGTCGGCTGAACAGACAATCACGTGACCCCTACCCTGATACTAATTATTCCGCCCCTTTACCCTCTGACCCTTCCTCCCTAACCCTCGTAAGGGTCATTCGTGGCTCAACCTTTCTCTGTACGGTCACATTCCCACCCAACCCTCCCATGACTAACCCGAGAACACCTGGATTGTAGAACGTTAGTTATGTTTTCTCATCTCATACGACATCGCGCTACCTTAGTTCCTACTGACTTATCTAGACTCGTACATTCGTCATGGCACTGTACGTTATCCTCAATGGTACCTGCGACTTAGCGTACGTATCAGTTGTTACATAACCTTCATGTTGTCTCTTCTCTGCAAGATACCTGCCTTGCTAGCGTTCCCAGTCACATTGTGGCCATTTGCTGTACTCAGTATGTTGTGTAGCTGTAACCTCTGATATACTCCAGAATTGTGTTATTGTCGTATTTTGAACCACGTTACTTACGAAGGTCAGTAGTTATTCAGGTGTACCTGTAACGCATCACTTGCTTAGCCAGGATGTTTTCAACCTTGTTCACGTAGATGAGCTTTTGAACTTCGCCGGTTAGAAGTTACTTACAAGTCAGGATGCGTTAAACATCCGCTGGACAGAGCATTGGTTTAACCGACCAGCCCGACTTTGGCTAAACAATTGGCAACCAGGGTAAAATAGGTCGCCAGCTCGCAGCACATGACTTGTTGTTGTTGTATTAGGCTCCTGTGTAAGTATGTACATGCTATGAGAGCTACAATGTGTAGAGAGTAATGGTGTTACTGAATTGACGATCCAATTGCAATAAATGCCCGACCGTACTGAGGTGACGGTGAGCTCACTACCCTAATTGTGTGTGTTTGTCTGTGAAATAGACGGGAAACATAGTTCTCTTCGGAGCTTGCGAAGAAGAGAATGTACCTTGATTTGATGGTCAGCAAACAGGAAGACAGAGTGCACGCCCTCTTCTCCTGCTCTCCTCATCATCTTCTTCAGGTCCTCTTTCCAGTCATGAGCCGTGTAGGTCTTACTGACGTTCACCTGGTACAGCTCATAGTCCGCCATGAAGGCAGCCAGACGGGTCAGACTCTGACGGCCACTGCCTCCGATTCCTGACAGAACAGACGGTACACATGTCAGATAAGATTCTCCAGTACTAAACCTGTTTAAGACTACACTTTCTGCAACCTATGTGTGTCATCTGCATAACATGACATCACAGAAGCCTTGGATTGTTCATTTCTTGACAAAGACTGGAGTTGTACAGTCAAACATTTGGGTGTCTCCAATTTCTTCTGTTGGAATCTATATTTTAAACCTGCTTCATACTGTTTAAGAATAGTTTTGACCATTTTGTTTTGGGCAGTCATGGCTGCAGATTTGATGGTAGCATACACTAAAAATCTTTATTTTCTATCTTCTTACTAATCCTAGATTGTACAGGCATTCTACATGTAACTCATATCTCCCTTACTACACTGTTGAACCAAAGTCTCTATCCCCACCAGTTTCTCAGGACTTACCCACAAGCAGTGCGTGGCCGTTAGGCTGCTTTAGGACCCTGCTGATCCGTGAGATGTGTTCAATGGCAAACTTGAACATGACCAGGTCCATGGGAGCCTTACTCATGGTGTTGTAGTCTTCTAGGAACTTCTCCATAGTCTGGGGAACAAGACAGTAACATCAATGATTGCTTCAAATGTTTCAAACTGGGAAACACTTCAGAAGCATCAATTAACACAATCTCAAGTCTTATGTGTAAAGAATTTATTGTTCATCAACAGTTCCACACCATTCTTAATTCCTCCATGTTCATGATTTCATCGTATCTTCTCCCCTCATCCTTTGGTGTCATGAAGTCCCCAAAGAACAGGCTCCTGATGTCGTCATCCTGCACTTCCTTTGACACAGACAGGTGGCCAAACACCTGGTTCATCTTCTCCTTAAACTGGGTCTGCACCACGTTCTGAGAAAGGGAAAAATCAACTTAACTTAAGTTCACAGTCTAATCAGAGATATGTTTCAGTGGCGTTTTCTAGATCTATGATGCAAGCACTTGCCACAACACAACAGAATGAATCAGTAAAAGTAATTTTCCTGACATATTTGAAGTTGAGTCTTTATTTGTTTCATAATCTGTTATACATTGTACTATCATTCAAAATAATCTACATTGTATTTTGGGTCATCCAACACTGTATTTGTGGAGGTTGAGGTATAGAGAATTTTGTATCCAATGAAATAGGGTTACAAATGTCACATTAGCAACAAAGGTTGTCAATAGCATATCTAGGTCTAAAGTTATATCAACAATTTAGAATTACAATCAGGTTTGCCAGGAATACAATCAGATAAACCACATTAGTAGCTAACCTTAACAATGCCAAAGAATGTTTGGCGATCCTCATCGTCCACCAGTCGATCATAGAACACTCTGTACACCTCATGGACCCAGAGCCTGATCAGCTTGTACTCTGCCTCCTTCCCTCCACACATAGACTCTGCACTGAGCAGCAGCACACCCTGCACCACTCTGGAGAAGTCTCGCAGGTTGAACAGGTAGTGGGACTTGGAGGGGGTGGGCAGGAAGTTGGTGACGGCTTGGGAGAACACCTCGGTGGTGGCCCATGTCATGATCTGGTGGGAAAAAATAAGTTCTTCAAGTTATTCTACATAATAGTTGAATTATTCTATATAAAGTTGTTTTGAGTTATTTTATATGAAGTTCTTCTTCTATCTAAGTCATAAAAAAGGTTTTAACCAAAATCATCAAATGTCTTCAATAGATTTGGATTTCGCACTTTCTTGATACACTATTGAAGATTGCACAGAAGGGTTTTGTACTGATGTTCCAGGGCCAAGTGTCGGAAGTTAGGTTCATTCTCCATCATTGAAAACAAAAAATTGAGAGAAAAATAACATTGAATTTTTCCAAGAGGTGTCTAATGACTTGGCTAATAGTATGTACATTTGTATACACTCACCCTGGAAAACCTCTTCAGGCCAGTTTCAAAGCCCCTGTTGAAGTGCCAGTCCAGGAGAGGGGAGAAGATGTTCTTCATGGTCTCCTGGTCAAAAGAGTCGATGGAGATGATGTTGAAGTGGCGTAGGTAGCGTGAGGTGACCGTGTTGCGCCCCCCTCCCGGAGGTCCCATGGCTGACAGCATGATCAGGTCCTTCAGCTGAACCTTACTGGTATCTTTCCTGCAGGGTAGAAAATGTTAACATTGCAGCAACATATCAAATGCATCCAATGCAATTTCAGGGCAGCAAAATTTTTTTTCTGGATGAGGAAATATGTCTGATATTGACATATACTGCCATTTTTTAGCACATTTTTGTCATCATTTCAAAAGAAAAGGACATCTCTAAGTTGCAAGACAACTGCTAAAAATTTCACTGCTGAGTATTGGAACAGTTCTTTGCATTTCTAAATGTAAATTTACATGGCAATATTGTGTTACAGCTACATTTGTATTTGTGTTTATCTTTATGAGATGTATTTCAGCTTTCATGATAGAAACCAAATAATGTACAGTGCTAATACCAAAAGAAGCAAGTGCATTTTCTTTCATAAAAATTGGCTTTTGTATATCTTACCTGTCAAACCAGTACCCATGGTCCACATACTGCCTGAGGATCTCTATCGGTGGCTGGGCTCCATACTTCTCCTTGGCTGGCATGTTCAGGTCATCCACAAACACAACACACTTCCTGCCTGGTGGGGGCCCGTACACACCTTTGCCTCTCCTAGATTTACACACAAACATAAAATCATTCAGAGTTGCATGCTATACCTTTTGAAGACAACAATCCTGACTGATCATTCTTTGATGATATATTCTCACACTAAATGTGAAAAAAATTACACTAAATGTGAAGAAAAGATTGTTTCTGACGTAACATGTATTAGTGTCTGTCCTTGGTGCTGAAATGAACTTCTCTTCAATTTTTGACTCAATGCACCAAAAAATGAAAAGAAGAAGCTCATTTCAGCACCAAGGACAGATACACGACTACATGTTAAGTCAGAAATATTCTACCAAAATCACTCTAAGGCATTGTTTTGGACTCCCTGATGAAAAAAAAGAAGATTTTGCAGAATTTGATTGACTGGTAAGCACACTAACGCTGTGCCTACACACTAGTCTGACTAGACGCATCACACAGCTATTTACAGACACCAATACTACTACTACTACTACATGTACTACTACTACTACTACTACTACTACTACTACTACTACTATGAGTACTACTACTATGAGTACTACTACTATTACTACTACTACTACTACTACTACTACTACTACTACTACTACTACTACTACTACTACTACTAAGAGTACTACTACTTTGTTGATTGACTGTACCTGTCCAGTTTTGAGAAGATGATATCTTGTGTCTGGTTGGCAGATGTCTGTGCAGAGAAGTTGACGATGTTGATCATGTAGCGGTCTTTACTCAGACCCAGCAGGAAGCTGTTGGTGATGGCAGACTTCCCCGTCCCTGTCGGACCCACGAAGAGGAGGGGAACCTCGCGCGTGATGAACCATGAGAGGAAGAACCTCTGTCGCTCTGTTTCCACGGTTGGGACGATAATTTCACTTGCCTGTGAGAATCATTGCATTGACATGTAGTGAGCAAATGGAAAGAATTTTCCAATGTGATGGGGATGGTTGAATATTCAATTATGTTTGTCATTATTTTAAACCTATTCAGGATACACTTTAACCTTTTCACCTTGGACAGACATTAGAAGCTAGTACATGTACGTTTAGGAAAACATGGAATAACTAGTTGTCTAGTACACGTTGCTCTAGATGGCTGATCAAGTATGCCAGCTGGAACAGTCCAACCATCACCTTCACCAGACAATGGACTAGTCAAGACTGCAACAAATATAAATGGTATGAAAATGTCTAAAGCTGTATTTTGTATCAATTTTTCTCATCAATTTTTCTCATCAATTTTTCTCATCAATCATTCTATCAATTTGTATCAATTTTTCTCTCATCAATACCTGAAATAGAAATTGATCTAATCTTTTTTCAATTTTAAATATCAGCATGCTCTTTGTAGCAGTCTTAACATGACCATACACATAGATTTTCTAGAGGCTATATTCTTACCATGATTCTTACTGACAAATCATCCAGCTGGGGTGAGTGGGGAGGGTTTAAAGTGGTGGGAAAAGCAGCAGTTCGCAAACCATGCAAGTGGCACACAGCATACGTATGTGGGGGGTAAGAACACACATTGGAATAGTGAAGAAATCTGCAGAAATCAAGCAAAATCACTACCTCTACAGCAGGTGGCTCAGATTTAGATAATTCTCAATAAAAGAAAATCTGAGTAGCATCAAATACAGTAATTTTTCAGTTGATTGTTACTATCATCAGCTCAAAGTTAATGGCAACATTGATATGATTGTTCTAATCTGAAATGATTTAGGGTTATTATTGTGATTACAAGTTCTGAAATCTTTTGGCTGTAGGATAGATCCAAATAACAAAAATATATTGATCAGAAATGAATACAGATTGAAGTGTTCAATTCAGTCAACCAGGGTGCAGGGCACAGTGCATTTTGTAAAGGATTTTGGAGCCAACACTACACTATCAGGGATTCCAGCTGTGAAAAAATAGAACAGAGTGGTATTGTTTTTTCTTTGAGTTACTAATCAATCATGCTCATTCATTGATGTGTTAAGAGGTCTGCATTATATTCGTATCAGATTCTGCTTTCAAATTTTTCCATGTCAAGGAAAATGTATCTTTAATTTGCATCAATCGATATCATCAAATCATCTGCCAATTGTGTCCAACGCAACAGGATACAAAGAGTTTTTTAACTAGTTCTTAATAGAACATTTTCTCATGCAGAAAATTATGTATTCCATGCACTGGGATTCTTCATGCATGCATGCTTTCAATCCACATTTTACACATGCACATGCAGTCATGCATGATTCTTGTAAAAGCTCAGGTAAGCCATGCATTACCAGCACAATACTTTCCATGCCCTTGAAAAACAAGTATTGCACGCTTATGCCACATGCAAGTATCATGCAATGGCACAATGACTTTGAGCTTGTAGTTACCTTTGTCTTCTACTCCCAGCATTATGTGGGGACAAAACACATAAATAAAGAATGGCAGTTAGCATCAATTCACAAACTATCTGAAGCAGAAATATGGAGACATGTCTAAACCACATTGTACCTGGTGTACATGTACAATATATAAAAATGGCATCAGAGACATTTATGGTGGTCATGCATTGAAACAAAGTAATTTCTTAGTTTGGTTGTATGGTATATCGATAAAACACCTAAAATGTGTTTATTCATATGTACATATAGATGTCAATGATCTTAAGTTTATGTTATTGAATCATATTGCTGTACCTGTGCTTTCTCTGCTATGTCCACTTGTTGTACCAGGCTCTGCCACTTGAACCAGGACCCGAAGTTGTTCTTCCTCATGAACACAAAGTCGTACACACTGTCCTTCTTGGGCATGAACAAACTGCGGGCTATCTTCAGATCTTTGGGCCTAGGTAGTATAAAAAATTAACATAAGTTTTGATAACATGATGAATACACCCACATCCCTGTGGCGTGAGTGCAATTACAGTTTTCTAGACAAAATTCTGATATCAGCTCAGCATTGAGAAAAGATAATCTATTAACTTAAAGATGCTTGACTCACCTTGGATTTTTGCCTTTTCCTGTCTCAGAGTCACAAAGGCCTCTGAAGAACTCACCAAACCTAGAAAGGAAAGGAACTCAGTCATTGGTATGTAAAGAATTCTAATCAAGTTTCTTTTTACAAATGATCGTTGACTGATTGACTTAGGGTGAGAAATATATGAAATACAACCAAAAGATGAGTCTACTGTTGTTTCTGTCTGAAAATTTGGTCAAAGATTTGTGTGAAACTTCAACACAATGATGCCATGTAAAAGTCAATCAAAATCCTGCTTTTGCATGTTATTAGAATTTAGAGTCTACGACATAGAGAGGACTGAGGTGATCATCTATGGTACTCACAGCTCTCGGGATGAAGTGTCCACTGCCCCTCCCACTGACCAGACCAGGGCAAACAAGAAGTGACAGATGATCATGTTGGTACGTTCCTCCTGTAACTTGGCATCAGATACGGACTGTTTGGCAGGCTCAGCAGCTTCACTCTCAGTCATGTTGTCATCATTAGTCCACTCATCATCATCATTATCTTCACTGACAAGTTGCCTTCAAAAAGATAACCAAGTGAGATATAAGTTTATTTCCCTAAATATATGCTGATATTAAAATGGATTGAAGGAATGTTGTAAGATATAATAAACTGAACTCAATGGATCAAGAACAAAAAAGCTGCGGATAATGACAACTAAAATATTGAACAGAATGGGGAAGTACTTAAGTTGATGCATATCTCCCCATTATGGCAACTTAGATGTACTACAATGAGCTTTCTACATGTACAAGGTTTAACATGTTAGAGGTTTTGAGGTCAGCTTCTACACAAATATAAGACTGCTCATTCAAATACAATATCTTTATATATATATAATATGTTTAGATGCTGATTGATAACAGGGTCTTACTTGAGATCATCCAGTAGGATGGAGTAGAGGTTGAGCATGGACATGGTCATGTGCATGGGGGTGATTCTCACTAACTGGTGACATGACTTCTGCACAAAGTGCAGACAGGGAGGCAGCAGCCATTCAAACATCAACTGGGGAGAAAAAGGACATACATGTACTGTCATTAGATGGAAACCCAGAGAAACATGTACTTGCAAATGTTATATGTTTAAAAAAGAATGGTTTGGTTGGGAATATTTCATCAGAACATTACTGTAGCAGTAACTAACTGTAAACAAGAGTAAAGAGACTCTTTCTACACAACCAAGTCTTTTATTCTGCTGACGTTTTGGTGACCGTCTGTCACCTTCCTCAGGGCAATTCTGACTGGTTCTCATTGCGCTGCAGCACAGGTACAGAGCTAAAGATTCCAGTCAACACAAATACATTGTACTATGGATAAAGTGGGCAACCTAGAAAGAATTGTCAGATAGAAGAGAAAATATTTTGGATTACTTTAAGTCATCCCAACAAAAAACATGAACATGCCCCACCTCCACAGTCTTGGCCTGAGCCTTGGTCAGACTCTCAGGCAGGCTGAGCTGCAGCCATGATGTCACCAGCGGTCTCCAACCCAGCTGGGATGGCTCCATGTAGATCATGCCACATCTGTGGGGATACACAGTCACAGATTAGAAAATACCATGCAAAGAAGTATCATTCTACACATTTCATCCATGTTTCTTTTCAATTATTCTACCTGAAATATTGTACAACACAAGTAAACACCCAAACACTTGTCTTTTCCTTCTCGATCTTTGAGTATGCAACCATGTCTCCAAGTCAAAATTCCAAAATATGCTATGCCTTCCTCTTACTTTCAATGGAGTAAAGTTTAGCAGGGTACATGAGTCTGTGGAACATTTCAGATTAGGTTGTCCTGTGATCACCCTACCTGCTGACAGTAGCTGGGGAAGCCTGCTCCAGGTCTTTTGGTTCAAAGATCATGTTCTGCTTTGGGCTCATCTGAATGATCTCTCCAGACATCAAGCACAGCTGTAGGTGAAAAAAAACATCATTGGAAAGCCACAGATAAGAAAATTCAGCAGGTACTTGTCATTTGTTTAACAACTTAATAATTATAGTGACGAGCAAAAATAGAGCTGTGTACTCGGAGTATTTTATCTGAGTATATTAGATTTTTAGAATTTTTGTTAAACATGGATGATATGCTTAAATGTAAAGTTTGGACAGCATAGAAGTACTAGTATACAGATATCAGTGTGTACCTTTTTGTTATCATCTAACTCTGTGTTCATGTTCTTGATCCATACAGATATCAGTGTGTACCTTTTTGTTATCATCTAACACTGTGTTCATGTTCTCGATCCAGACAGCATCTACCGGCCCATCAAAGATGATCCATTTCCTGTAGTCTGTCACACTGGTGGCATGGTCTCTGAACACATTAGCCAGCACACCTGGAATAAAAGAGACACTTATCAAGCAAAAGTTCGAGCCACAGATATAAGTTTTCAAAACAAATACTTGCCATCATCAAAGGATACACGAGAAGACATAACTTTTTTAATTAGCGAAATTGTCAACTTGAAATTTCAAATCAAACATGTCTACATGTGGAGTTTTAAAGAAAATACTTTGTTACACATTTCTCATAAGAAAAGCATGTTAAAAATGGTGCTTTGAGTCAAAATTTGCAAAGAAGGTTATTTCAGCACCAAGGACAGACACACTTTAACTATATGAAGTTTTACTTGCTCTCACAGTTCTCACGAGAAAAACATGTGAACAAATGGTCCATTGAGTCAGAAATTGCAGAGAATGTCATTTCAGCACCAAGGACAGATGCACTACAACATGTTAAGTCAACTACAGATCTAGATCTGGACATGCTAATCATGAGGAATTCTAAGAAAAATCAATGGAAAATGGGTATAAACTTTTCACTCTCACCATTATACATGTCTCTTCAGCTACTTTGCTGAGAAGAGTATTCGAATGAGACAAAAACTTGTCATGTGAAATGGTAGAAGATTGGTTCACATACCATCAGACCACTCATGTGATACAGGGTCAAACTGTCCATACAACTGGCCCATGGTGACAGCTTTGGGGTTCATTATGCAGTATTCAACCTGAAATATGAGAGAAGTTATAAGAAATCTTATGATTATATTAAAATATCTATGATCATATGTATGACAAAGGTCAATAACATTAAATTTAATATTCTTTGTAAAGTTGTCTCCGTAAAGTCTTTGTACAGTCTTCTGTGTCACAACTATACAAATGTTCAAGGCTACTATCTTATCATATCCTTACTTACCCTGTTTTCCTCATATCCCTCTTTCTCCAGATCTGCTAGAGCCCCAGCAAGAACCTTGAATGCACTTGTTTTGCCACCCAGGGGGTCTCCAACTATCATCAACCCATGTCGTACCAGGATCATCTCATAGATCTGGAGTCAAAACAAGACAAAATCATTTCTGTCACCCATGAAATACATGTATCCTAAACAACCAAATTGCTGGAACCTAACGTTATATCAACCGAGGAGGCATTGAAATTCAGCGCATACTCATTTGCATGTTCGTGACTGGACAAATGCACCAGTATCTCTCTTTATCCCCTATTTCTCTATTTCTGTCACAATGTTCCTACCTGAACAATCTTCTCTATGAACCAAGGAACTGGCTGCAGCCCCCTGCTGCGGATGTTACTGATCAGACCAGTCTCCAGGCTGCCCAAGTCTCGCTTCGGCATGACCACTCCTGGGAACAGGTCGGAGATGATCCCCTCAAACAGGGGGATGTCATGGGACAGGAACTGGGGGAGGGAGGACAAAAATGTGTTATTGTTGTGGTAAATCATTCAATCTACCAAAGCAGTTTACATGCTTTGCTTCTTTAAGCTGCAAGCAATCTGGTAATATCATCACCTCTTCCAAAATATAGGGTTTATCAAAGGAAAACATATTGTTTTTGCTCTGTTTCCTCTTCTTCTTCTCCAAACAAATAAGATCAATGACTAGAACCAGGCGTCTGTCACCATGGTAACTAGTGTTGGGTTCCATCATGTTGCAATTTGCAGGAGGAATTTAGACTCCTATGACCATATAATATGAATGTGTTTGAGTAAGAATTAACAGAGCAGACCATATGCGAAGGAAAACATTATGCATTTGCTTTGTAAATGTTACCTTTCTAGCTACCTTTGATCTTTATACTGACCTTTGGTAGGTTGACCTCGTTAATTGACCTGAGAACCAGAACGTTCTCTGGTTGGTCGGGATGGCGAAGCTTGAGGTTCCCGGCTGCTGTCAGCACGGCCTTCACCGCTCGCATCCCGTAGTCATAGTGGTGCTGAGAGGACAACTGTAGGAACACAAGGAAAACACGTGAAAAAGTGGTGCATTGAGTCAAAAATTGCGAAGAAGGTCATTTCAGCACCAAGGACAGACACACTACAGCTATATATGAAGTTTTAAAGAAAATGCTTACTTTTACAGTTCTCACAAGAAAAACATGTGAACAAATGGTGCATTGAGTCAAAAATTAAAAAGAAGGTCATTTCAGCACCAAGGCCAGACACACTACAGCTAGCTGTATATGAAGTTTTAAAGGAAATGCTTGCTTTTACAGTTCTCAGAAGAATAACATATGGACAAATGGTGCATTGAGGCAGAAATTGCAAAAAATCAACTTCTCCTACTTTTTTTCACTTCTTCACTGCACATCCTTCAGAATCATAAATGCATATGTTGAAATACTGTAGTCAAAGATAAGTATAATTGCAGGCAGTTTTCATTGATTCCCCACATGATAGCCGTGGGAAAGTCACATATCTTACCTGCTCTGAACAGAGCCTGTAGGTAGCCACAATCTTGTGTGCCAGACTGGGGGCATCCACAAACCCCATGGAGTACAGGGAGATCTCACTGATCAGGGCATAGTCTGGCACCATCATAGCCACAGTACGGAACAACACCTGAGAAAACATACGGAATATTGAATAAAGGTAGCAATGTATCAGTACTACTACTACTACAGTAATACTTAAAAATTCTACGTTAGAACAAATAATGTCAGAGCTATAAACAAAAATCTTACACTGAAAATCCATTACACTGATTTTTTGCTATACCAGTTCTTCCTGAATGCTAGATAACATTAATATTTTATTGATCAAAATATATTTTATGCCCATCAAATTAACAATCTGTAATGGATGAGAATACCTTTTTTGTTTCTACATCCAGAAGTTACAGTGGCCTTATAATAATGGGACGATCACTTCAAATGATATGCAGAGCCATTTTGTTTCTTGTGCCATGACTGACCTTGAGGTTATCTGGTAGTTCTGCCCTGCCAGCGTACCCAGGGTTCATGGTGATGAAGATGGTACAGGAGGGGTCCAGGGACAGCTCTGTGCCCTCAAACACAAACACCTTCAGGTGTTCACTCACTGCCCGCTGGATGGTCTGGATCTGCTGGGCCACCACAGAAAGTACCTAGAACAAGGTTGGGGAGATACGACAGGATTAGGCATGGCACTCTTATACCAAATTCTTCCAGAAGCTTCAAGATCAAAGCAATGTTTTGGTATTCAAATATAGGTCCTAGGCTTCAAGTAAACTTGCACTGCAATTAAAAAGCTTACAGATAACATTCAAACAATCATTGACATAGTAGATATTACATACTACGTTGTACATGCAGGAAAGAAAGATTGATAGTGTACCTCCAACTCAATGCGGTTGAACTCATCAAAGCAGGCCCAGGCTCCAGACTGAGCCAGTCCCTTGAACATCTTCCCCATGGCCTTGTAGTCCAGCCCATCTGAGCAGTTGAACACCACACACTGTGAAAAAAAAAGCTGTTTATTTTCTGCAACTTTTTGTCCTTTTTACACTTGACACTGGAGATAAGAGGATAAATTTTTCTAAGGCCATAAGCCAGTCTTCTTCTCATTGATCTAGAGCTTCTCTACCATTCTGTTAGTGTAAAGGTGTGGATGACTCACCTGTTTGGCCACAGCCTTGGCCAGGTCCTTACATGTCTCAGTCTTGCCTGTACCAGCTGGACCCTCAGGAGCTCCACCCAGGTTCAACAGCAGGGCTCCCATCAGGGTTCTGTTTGGAGGAGACAATTGTTAAACTTCCACCAATGTTTCTGTAATAGTTCTTTTAACTAATGAAGGTCGTGAATTTTTCAGGCACTTAAGTATGGGAAAAGAATAACAGTGCAAACATTCAGCAATGATTGCCTATAATGTAGAAACTAATCGAGGCAAAACAGAAGGCTAACATTAAATATTCTTCCTTCTGCTGCCAAAAAATCCACCCCTCACCTGTAGCACCTGTCCGTGAGTGGTGTGATGACCAAACGAGTTGTGTTCCCCAAGTACTCGTAGGCATACGGTACAGTAGTGGTGATCATGCGCACTTGGACTAGCTTCTTCTCCCAGTAGTATCTGTTAGGAACAGGCAGACATGATCAGTGACAAAAGAACCCATCAATTTTGATACTTGGTATAAAAACCTAAGGTTTATTTCCAGCTCAAGAAGTCTTGTTTTGGATCTGTGGCATTGAAAACCTGATGTACACAGAGTGTTCTTACCTTAGTTGGCTGATCCACTGAAAGTCATTGGAGCTGGTGACTCCTTGATCACAAAGGCTGGTCACCACATCTCGTGCTATGATAGTGAGAGAAAAACTGAGTTTTAAAATGCTGACTGTTGAATGTTACAAATATGTTATAATGACAGGACCTCATATGGTATGAGGCTAGACTGGTATAAATAACTCAGTGACCATAGCTCTTGATTAGAATTAACATGAGTCACAACTTTAGCTAAAAGCTTAACTCTGACAATATTAGACAATATTAGAAGAATTACACATGTAGATATGTTACTGTCACAGCAAACCTACTGACCATGGACATCGATGGTGATGAGTGCCCCCAGGGTGATCCTGCTCATCTTTGTCAGTTCTCCCCGCACCAACTTCACAATGTCCTCAATCTGCCTGTTACAGGTCTCCTTGTACTGCTTCACTCCATTTTGTTTAGCCATGGCCTGGAGAATGAAATAAAACTTTAAGTTGCTGAAAGAATGGGCTTTCTTCTTGAGTAAAAAGCAAATGACTGTAATATTGCTTTGCAAAATTTAAAACTTTTAGATCAAAATCTTAACTTTGAAAAAGAGAACTCTAAAAAAGAATACTACTGACATTCCTGTAGGTCATCACAAAATAATGCACTGACCTCTGTGACCTCACTTGTCCAGAAGATCTGCCCAGTGGCCAGCACCACCTGTCCTGGCCACTGCAGTACCCACTTCTCCCGCTGGGTGGTGGGGTAGGCCTGGATGGACTTCTCCATCACCTCACGCAGACTCAACTTCATCACTTCCTCTACCTGATACCAAACAGTACCAAAATGGGTCAAGTGGACCTCACTTGAAGACAGAAGAAAGATGTCTAGACTATGCATGATGTACAAAATGACTAATAAACTGGTGGATGTCCCAACTACTAAGTACCTAATACCAGCTCAGAAGAGAACAAGAAATAGCCACGCATTCAAGTACCAGAGTTATCAACCAAGGATTGAGGTGTTCAAGAATTCATTCTTTCCTAGAACTATCGCAGAGTGGAACTCACTGTCACCAAGTACAGTAGGGGCACTGTCAATAGATAGCTTTAAACAATGTCTAGAGCTAGAAGTTCAAGGGTTAGGTGTAACAAGTCGATCGGTGTAATATAGCCAGCTGCCGCCGCGCCGCGTGCCTGCGAAGCTGGTGTGTTACGCCGAAAGGCGGTTATACCGGCTATACAGATACAGATACAGAATGTTGTGTCTCAGATTTTTAAAATGTAACAGATGAAACTTCAGATTTATCTTAATGAACATAATTTATGGTATCATAATAAGACAATCAGCACATTCTAATCATAATCCTATAATGAATACTGCTTGTAGATCCAAGCTTTTACATACATGTATGTCTCACAATATTATAATAGTTACTGTATTATTAAGTGAAAGTAATAGTTGTCTAGCAGCTACAACACACTTTGATACACATATTTAAGTAAGTGGTAAATAAATGTGTCATTATGATATTTGTAAACTTTGATATCTTAATGGAACAATTTGACTATCCTAGAAGAGTTGTAAGGAATTTGTAAAGTTGTGATAACAGCCCTCTTACTTGCATTTGCCCTTCCACCTTCTACATTGCTAATTTTGTGATACAGATTGAAGTACCTGATAATATGTACATTTCATTATGCAGCTTCTGTTTAAAAATATTTTTTGAGTCATACCCTAAAATGAATTTCATTAGATATTCCAGCACACAGGAATAGGAGTGTTGTTGGGACTTGTTAATGTTATACAAATATACATGTACATGTTATAAAACCCTGAGCTCAGTGGTAGTTCTGGTCAGTCAGTAGTGTAGTAAAGTAAACAGTCACATACAGTGAACATGTTAGAGCACCCACAAACTTACAACGTGGTAATCTAATGACTTTTAAACATCTGAAACAACCTAGTTATTACAGAGACCATTGTAAGCAGCATCAGCAGTTACTGTGTCATCCTTACCAACCACAGGTCAACATGTTAGCATCCTCCAATGAGTCACCAGTCTCCGCATGCAGATGATGCAGTTAGTTGTTACACAAGCTGTCAGGAAAACCATGAAACCTCTTGCTGCAGCAGTTCATGCAGTGAGTCTGTTAGTAGCGGTGAGTTTCCACACACGTCTTCTTTGACTTCCACCAATGTGAACATGTGCGATAACATTCACATAGGATGAAAGCCATAGAACACGAGGTAGACACACAGACACACTGACGACCCCTGACCTCTGAACAGTCGGTTTCCACATTGAGTCTCTCAGCAATACAGCATGAACAGTGTCACGGAAGTCTCGCTATCTATATCTAAGTCCTACACTGGAGCTGCAAGTCTAACCCTTAACCAATAACCCCCATCGATGTGAACTGTGCTCAGACATTCACAAAGGATGAAAGCCATTGGACACGGGCAGAAGAAGAAACATCTATTGGCTATACTCTCTCTACATTTTACTGTACAGCAGCTCATTCTTGCTTGGCAATCTATGATGCCTTCTACAACTAGTTTTGGATCTGGTAGGTTTCTATGCTTGAGGTAGGTTTCTATGCTGTAGGTTTCTACACTTCTAAAGTACAAGATGCTTAGTAACTAGAACTAGTGTGGAAGAGTTTCACTCTATCTGATAACGTAAGTTTTACCTGGTAGAGCCATTTCTCCACCAGCCCCTTGGCGTCTGCCGGGATGATCTGCCTGCACAACGTCACCTGCTCCTTCTCTGCAGACTCCATGGCTGTTATGACCTTGTCAGGGGTGAAGGTCAACTGGGCAATGCCTTCAAAGCACTTCTTCAGGTGGGGCTGTACGCGTAGGGGGTCCTTAGTCTCTGAGAGAATCTCAAGGAGCTCATCGTTTGAAAGGAAGAAAAACCTGAGGAGGAAAAAGAAGATGCAGTGTTTCTAAGATCATGTCACATTGTACAAATGTAGTTGGAGATATACAACTGTAATTTACTACTGTTAAAGGAGAGCATTTATTTCCAGTCAACTGGCTATATATGATATTTACATGTATATGTCTAAACGGCATTGTGATAAACATAGATTCTGAAGTGTCACAGCGCATAAAATAGATAATCAACGAAATATTTCAATTTATCGCAGTAAATACATGTCCTTCCTAAAAAGTATGACATTTGCACAACAAGTAACCAGATTCTTAGCTTGCATAAAGGTATCATTTGACACTTAGCAAATTCTGCTGTAACTACCTTGGGAAGAAAAGCCTTTTCTTCTCCAGGTACTCATTGAGCCCCCTGTGCACCTCCTCCAGCAGAGACTCCGCCTCATGCAGCTTCTCCAGCATCTCAGGCTGGGACGTCACCACCAGGGCGTTGGTGTCCTTCACTGACTCCATCATGATCCCTGTCCTGTGTACACGGTGAGGAAAGGAGAGTTAAACAACAGATAAATGACAAAACATTTGCCCATAAAACAATGACAGAAAAGCTTTCTATCATGAAAGAAAAGCTTTCTGATGCATTGTAAATCCCTCATAAACAAAGTGGATGCAGCTGCTTTGAGTGTCTCTAAACTATGATATTCTATTTGAAAATCTATATGATAATCTGTTTGTTTTTTGATAGCTGGGGACAAATCTTTAAGATTTGAAGTGTTTAATGCAGTACATTAATATACCACTAAATTTTAATATCTGGAGCAGTTAGTACTAACATGTGGCTGGGTTACACGAGCACCAAAACCATTTCAACAGTATTAGAGAGTTTATGTACCAGTGCTTGTCCACAGTTTCAAACATCTTGCCCTCCCGGGGGATCTGACTGCGGATGTCCTCCGAGCCAAAGATGGGCTCCAGATACAGCCAGCTGGCCTGGACATGCAGCCACGACTCGATGATGGCTCGCATACGATGCTGGGAAACAAAGAGCAGCGATGTTTAGAATGAAAGCAAAAATGTCAGCTTGCACAGTATGTAACACAAATTGCACTGGAAATTCTAACACCTAAGATGAATGACTATCAAATACATCCCCATCTAGAAAAGTAACGTTTGCATATGGTCTGCTCTGTTAATTCTTACTTTAACACATTTGCATATATATATATATATATATAGTCAGACAGGAGTCTAAATCCCTCCTGCTATAAAATTGCAACATGACGTAACCAACACTAGTTACCATGGTGACAGACGTCTGGTTCAGGTCATTGACCTTATTTGTTTCGAGAAGAAGAAACAGCAAGAACAATATGTTTTCCTTTGGTAACTATAAAAAGACAAAGAGGCTTACCAGTCTGTTCTCCCACTCTTTTATCTGTGTTTCAAAGGGAGCGATGAAGGGAGACCCTCTCATGGTGGCAGTCTTGACGATGTGGTCGTCTAGTAGTACCTGTACATCGTCCAGTGCAGCCAGGATGGGGATACCTGTGTCTTTGTACTGCACGAAGCTGAAGTGGATATTCCCCCAGTCCTTCTTCATCTTCACCAAAGCCTGCAACACAATATATTGGTAGATATTTTGTGAAGACTTGGTCAAAGCATCCAGGAAATGAGTTTGATAACAGTGGATCACAATGTTTGATTTAGAAGTTTGACTATTGACATTACCTTCTCCAGGGCATACTCCTTGGCAGCCTGAGAGCTGATCTCAGCCAGTTCCTCCACATACTTCTCCAGACCCATCTGTAGCACCTCAGACAGGGGAGTTTCCTGCTCAGGGGCGATGTTGAACCCAACCTGGAGGTAACAAAACATACTGTTGAGTACAAAACATATGGTCCATTATATAGATTATATAATTTATATATATGTGTCATTTGGTTTTGTTAAGAGGCTATCATAAACAATATGTTTGTCATCCATAGCCAAAATATGAGATTTTCATTATAGTTAAAGATATATCAAAGGTAAAATCATCAGAGTAGTACTGTAGTCAACTTGTTTGGATAAGTCAAGTAAAACAGCATATTGTTCATCACTACAGTCATAGTCTCTAGATCACAGTCTGATTGAATTATGTGGAAAGTAATTCATATCTCCAACATGGCAAACATGATTTAGAGGCTTTTTTCCATTGCTGTGTGCTCATGTTGTAAGCAACCTACCTTTCAGCACCAAGGACAGTGCTCGCACAAGAATATGTCACATGATAGAAACATCAGTTTTAAGACTAACCTGGTCAGACATCATGTCCCAGTGCCTGTCCTTGATACCGGGGGTACACAGGGCCCTGATGAGTGGCATGTTGATCTTGAACTTCTCCAGTTTGGCCTTGATGGTGGCAGCGGCCCTCAGGGGGCCCATGTAGTCAGGGTGGGAGAAGATCTTGGTCAGCTTGTAGCTGGTGCGCCATAGGTTCTGAACCTGTATAACAGGAAGAGTTGGACACTTATATGCAAGTTGTTTGTCATTTTTGACACATTACTTCTTTGTGGAATTGACTGTGGGGTTTTCTACAGTATGCTCAAATCTCATTACTTGAAAATGATCACCTTAGATGTCTGTGCATGGTAACCAACAATACTGAGTGTCAAGCAGCTACATTGTTTGTACATGTACCCACCCCATATGCTACTACATATTGTCATTTTGTCTACAAAAATCAAATGAATATACTTTGTGGGGACTGCATGTTTAGACTAATAATATATTCATATTTGATAATGACTTTTAGTTCCCCAGGCAATAAGTGCCCTAACACATGATTTCAAAAAGTTTATTTAGCAGTGTTTTTGGAGGCAATGGGAACTTTTGTAAAAAAATATGGAAAGGCTGCACCAAGAATCTTTCTTGGATGAACTTGATGCAATAAAGACAGTACCTCCTCGTCCACCTCCTCAGCATTAACCTGCAGCAGGGGACCGTTCATCCACTTGTCGTGCTGGGAGTGGAAGGTGACAGCAGCCTGCCACAGCCGGTCATACGGCTCCTTGGCCTTCATGATCTCCTGGATCTGTGTGTAGGGGGTGACAGCCCCTGTCTCCAATAGGACCTCCTCCATGTTGATCTCATTTTTCTGTAAGATATAGGTTAAGGTTAAGATAAACCACAGATTTTTCAGGCCTTCAAGACATTGAGTATCTGCTGTATCTAGGCTGCAGTTTTGGAAGGCAGAGCCCATCCCTTTCCTTCCACTGCCTTTTACCTCCAAGAAAATGTCAGGTACCCATGTTTTACAACCTGGTGAAATGAGGAAAGTCATGTAAAATGCCTTTGCCAAGGACACATTGTCTTGCCAGAAATACCAGGAATGCCTTTAGTTCTTGTTTCTGCTACTTGGCCATCCAATGCCACTTTTTAGATAAAGAGGGTGGAAACCTATAGATGGTCCAGAACATGTTACTGACAACCATTGTATCTGTTTTTCTGTTCAACAAAAATCAAAGCTAAACCCTCGAACACAAAATATGCAACTATTTGTTTCTTTCTCACCTCTTCCTGAAACTCTCTGAGTTTCCTGCCGATTTCCTGTAGAAGCTCCATATAGTTGTGAGCCTCAGACATGCGGTCCTTCTTCTGGAAGTCCTTCACCTGCTTGGCCACCTCATCCAGCCTGCTGACAAAGTCCACCTGCCACTTCAGCAGCTTCTGTACCGCCATGTCATGTTCCTTTATCAGCCTCATCTCACTGGAAGGGTGAGGAATATGTGTCAGGGAGCCAATTATTACAACAACAAATGGACAAAGGAAGGAATCCCTGGGTAATGCACCAGATTTTATCAAGCATTTAATAGCTTGCCTCAATATTTTTTACAATAATGAAATATGAAATTTGTGTCTTGGAGTCTCTTGCTATAGGCATTGGTATCAGTACCTCTAATATATAACCGGTATAATCTCCCTTTGATGTAACACACCAGCTTTGCAGACAACCCCAGTATTACACCGAAAGACCTGTCACACCCAAACTCTTTATTTTAATGTACATGTATAGCAGACAGTATCAAGACATGTACATTTGTAAAATTACACAATATTACAGCCATAGCTGTAGCAGTTTGCCATGAACAAGACAATGCCTAGCTATAAATGTAACGTTAACAGATGTATGTTGATTGGTTAAACTGAATTAAAGGCCCTACCTGTTCCTGATGATAGGTAGGATCCTCTCCGGCCAGGTGAAGGTGTTGTGGTTCAGGTAGATGTCATCCTTAGGCAGGTAGGCATATTCCATCAGGAACAGCAGGTTACCTGCTGCAATGTCCAGTTTTTCCTAAGATATGATACCGAAACATTGTCTCAACAGAAATGTACAAGTCTATTCATCATATTACAGGTTGTTGCTGAGCAAAACTGGAAACTGTTTGTAGTTAAATAACTTTCCTTCTTTTCCTTTACAATGCTTCTCACCCTATCAATGGCAACATGCCACCAGTGCATCAATTTAAGCGCCAAATAACCCAAGCACCAACATAAAGTTGTTATCACATGTTAGCTGATTTATGTTTTGATCTCTTTCATTAGCCATCAGTATCAGCACCTTGGACAGACACAGGGATGAAACAGATAAGCTTCCTCGGTTCTTCCTAGTTTGTGGGTTTCCTTTTTAAAGCAGAATACAGGGTGATCCTCAGGCTATACATTGTAATATGACACTGGACATAAACTTGGAGTTAATTTGGTAACCTTCACCCAACCTTCATCATTCTCTGGTCCCAAAACCATATTATAAACATGTAAAAATAACAAATTTAAACCTTTGCACTGGCCCGGTCATTGGCAAGCTGTCAGCATGAAATTGGAAAACAGGTAGCAAAGAAAAGATTATCATCTGAATAGAAACAGGCATTGATATCTACAGAGTAAAATGTGAATAAAAACAAGGGTAGCAAATGTGAGAAACAATAGGGTGAATGATGAACTTGAATAAGTTTTACTATTTTTTCAAACAAATTAAATACTGGCAAATAATAACAGCATTGTCTACATGGAAAAAAAACTGTTTTGAGCAAATTTGAGTAACAGTACACAAGTCTACTTACCCTGAGTACCATGAGTTCCCCTGTCCTCAGGGCATCATTGTACCTCTGAAGGGCCACCAGGTCCTTGGTGGTCTCAGTGTGAGATGTTATGTTCTTCACAATCTCGTCATACTGTTGGCAGATGCTACGGTTGAACTTACGACTGGTGGCCATGATGTGCTCTATCATGATGTTAGCCAGCTCTCGTGATCTCTGGATCAGCCACTGAAACCAGCAAAAATAATCAGATTATTTCCAAACTTGAAAGCTTGAAAACTGTTTATTCAATGAGTTTCTGCAGTTTGTACATGCAATTGTAATGGTATGCAGGATAAATATTCAAACGTAGAGCACACAGCAAAGTCTAGGTTAGCCAGTACTGCTACAAAAGGAACTGAAACTGATCTTGTTTTCACTTGTCATTACCTGGTTGAGATCTGTGCAGTCCAGGAGAAACAGGTGCATGGGTACATAGATGGGGAAGGAGCCCAGGTCCCAGGCCATTGTCTTCAGCTTCTCAATCTCCTGAACATAGTACCTCAGTGGTGGGCCTTTCATGATGAAAGTCTGCACTTTGGAGTCGGAGTCTTTGGAGAGAAGGTACTTGTAGGGCCAGTACACCGAGCGGTAACTGGAACCAGAAGAATTACAACATGTCATTTATTTTTGTTCCTTCACTTTGTGGTGTTGGGTGGTGTAGTGATACATCTACTCAGCGTTCGACTATCAAACGATCAAACCTCAAAACCCAGGTTCAATCCTTAAAGTTGTACCCAGGACATGTCTGGACATGTCTTATGTTGTACCCTTGGGAAAGGCACTTTACATGACTTTCCTCACTCCACCTTCGGTTGGGGAAAGTCGTATTGAGGTCACCTGGCAGCGCCAAATGGCAGCCACACAGACCCTTGTGACAGTTCCACAAAAGTGTGCATGGAACAAATATGTTATATGTATCATGTGTATTATGTGATTGTAAACCCTGCATCAATTCATTGCTATAAAAGGCTGTGATTGCACGGGTAGTGTTTGACCAATAAACCATTTCAGTGATTGGTTTCTGAATGTGCCAGAAAATGCTTTACATGCATCCACTGCATGAAATTCAAGATGATGATATTTCTTACCTTAGAGGACCATGACTGTTGTTGTCGATGACTTTCCGGATGCGTTCCTTGGCTACCTGGACTGTCTCCTCCTCCAGCAGGACAGTACTGATGTACTTGGTCTCCAGGTCCTCCACAGCCTGGAACAGCAAGTGTTCCACCCGGGACAGCTGGAACACGCTCTTCACAATGCTGTCCACCATGGAGAACAGCCCCAAGGTCACCTCTGGGAAGGACGGGGAGAAGGATGCTGTGACTGTCTCTCTGGCCGGAGTCTGAAATACAAAAAGGAATGGTAAGAGCGCTGCATAAAAAATGGAGTAAAGAATAACCAAGTCTTGGTCAGTACAAAAGTTTCTGACCTCCAAGATGGCAGAAATGGTTATAAAGTGGAAGGTTCCGGTAGAAGTTGCAGCCAAGCTCTTGAGCACAAATGTATCAATTCTCTTGCATTTGAATAAGGTCTCCTTTAAATAAACTAAGAGAGAAGTTTTTACTTGTTAAAGAGCAGGTACTAACCATGAATATCTTGATGGGATGTATCTTTGTAGGCAGCCCTAGTCTCTGCTCTGGGTAGTGTCCAGTGTAGGCATTCCCATCAGCATAGTCCTCCAACAGTTCCACTAGGTCGTACACAGACTTATGCACAGCACTCCGTAACAGACACGACATCAAGGAGGCCACACTACCAAAGAAGTGGTCCATTGCATCCATCCGAGCAACCTAGGGACAAGAGGACATTTTACAAACTAGGAAATGGGATGGAAAAGATATGCATTGTTCAAAGCTAATTTTGCAAAGCAATAAGATATTGTCAGAAAAAAGTATTCCGAAAGACACTTTCATGCTCAATAAAAATAAGCCGATTTGGCAATGATATTGTTGTAATAATCATAATTATGCATGAAAAATGGGAAAATTGTGCTGTCATAAAATCTAAAGTCCACAAAAAATGTTCCAATTAGTCCACTAGATGGAGATCATAAGATGTATGCATGTATGTACAAAATGTAGATAATGATTATGCTAATTCAACAAGTGGACTGACCTCGTCCTGTGGCATGGATGCCTCCAGACTGTCCCTGTGTTTGGTGACGATGTCAGCACACTGTGTGAGCCAGCGACTCTGCAGCAGCTCTGAACCTCTCTGACTGGATGTCTCTATGTGCTCCTGGAAGGCCTCCAAAGTCAGGGGCATCACCCGTTGAAGTCCCGGGATGTCAATCAAACGGAAGGTAGAGTACCTGTTTTCAAGACACAAAAAACAGAACTCTATACTGGATACATACAGGACATCTTTGGACATAAAAAAAAAAACACAAAAAATCTCTGTACTATGGCAATGGTCTACTTTCTAAGACAAAATTTGAAGTCAATAGTATCGGTAGTAGTATCCAGTCTTTGGTTATACTGCTGCAGGGGGCCCCAAAGCAGGGGTGGATACCATGTTTTTAAAACACTCTGTTCAACAGGTCCACACTGGCAAGGCAGCACTCTCAAATTAAGGTCCCTCTTGACATACTCCATCCAGGATCCAATACATGTAAGAGCAATTCACAAATTAAGATTTGCTTGAGAACAAGAGGAGAAAAATCCTTACTCAATCTCCCAGACATGTAGGATCTCCCTCATGATGGGGTGGGTGATGTACAGTTCCCTCTCCATGAAGTCTCGAGCTGCGTTCACACTCTCATGCCACGGGTACTGCTCCCTGCCTGCAGGGTTGGAGGGCTGTGGAAGAGTGACAGTTTTTGCTTTAGTTGTTCACCAGTTCAGATGTGCATCCATTGATAAATATGAGAATCAACAGACAGCTTCTAAGGAAGACTTTTCTCTGGTTGTGTTATAAGGTTTTCCCTCAAAAGAGCTACACAATAGAATTAATTGAAAAAGTTAACCAATGAAAGAAGAGTACACATTGTCAGAACTTGTAGAGAAAATAATGATAGACTTGGATGGATAACATCAATCGCCAGTAAATCTGGACATGCATTTATAATTTAATTTACCTTTGGAGGAAGACTGATTCCCAGTCTGCTCTGTTCTTTTGGCTCCAGTAGGACATAGTCCAGTATAGCCTTCTGTACATGCCGGTGGTAATCTTCATCTGCTTCCTATACAACAGGTGATGGTAATGCAGTTCAATACACATTAAGATAATCACAAGTTGGTTCAATGTCAAAATGCAACTAAAAGAACTTCACGTGTCACTTTATGTAGTCTGTAAATGTACATTTTGACAAAAAGTGTTATCCTGAACTGTTATCTGATAATTATCTGAGTAGATTAAGAGCCATATGTTTGTAAGGCCTTTATACCATGTTCTGTCCTTGGTGCTGAAAGCTATATTAACAACTTTTGAGCAGTCAGCATACCTCTGTTACCAGCCTGAGTGTGTCAGCCTGGGCCTCCCGTAGCTCCTGAGGGATGTAGCTGTACGTGTTCTGTATCCACTCCTCACTCAGTGGTGCTACCATGTCTGGGTTGATCGCATTGTCAATCAGACTTGTATATCTGTAAAACAATGTCCCAACCAAATTGTTGTCTACTTTCTTGCCATTTCCAGAACAAATTAAAACCATCTGTGCAAAATCTAAAAAGGCAGCACAAATTAGAGGAATAACAAAGAGAAAACAGAAAACTTTTTAAATCACACACTAACCTATCCAAGTCCTTTTCTTCAGGAGTGCTTGGCCTGGACAACCCAATGGTTGGGAAGGTAGAGGGAGGGAAGACAATGTCAAGAACAGCGAGGGTTTCATCATCGTACTCCCTCTGGACTGTTTCATCATCCTTTGCGTCTTCACTATCCACCCCCTTGCTTCTGGTAGACTCCCTGGTGGTTGGTCTGAAAGAAAATACAAATGTATTGAGATACCTCAAGTGTGCCTGACTCAGGCCTTAACTTTGGAGGATACATCTGAATTGCAGGGAATGTATTATGAAGCAGGCTTGGTGGGAAAGTACATGTAGTAGTTTTCAACTTTTTTCAACCTTTGACAAATACTTTCCTAGGCAATAATACCATTTCAAAGAGAATTGTGTACCTTGGTGTAGGCTCCTGGCTGTTTGCTCCATTACGAGGACTGTTTGGTGCAGAAGACTGGTTTCCGTTGACCCCATTTTGTAATCTTGGACTCCCCACGATGCCCTGACCATCTTCTATTGTGCCACCATTTTCCTTGTCCTCATCTTTCAATGCAATCTTTGACTCAGGATCATTTACAAGCTGTTGGCTGGAACCAGTTTTGATGTACAGACCTGAAAAGTGCTCCTTTCCACCTTCTCCATTTTGAGAGGCCTGGGAGAGTGCTCTTTTAGTTCTGTCATTGCGTGGAGACAAGCCACTCCTGTTTCTTTCCAAGTCAGGGCTACCCCATCCCTGCCCGTCCATGTCAAAATGATGGCCATTGGTGTTTCCAACAACAGAATGACTGAAGTCAGGGCTATGGGTTGGAGATATCAGCCTAGTTCTCTTTGCCGAGCCATTGAGGAAAAGGCCTTCCACACTTTTCGTCCGTGCTTTCCTGTCGTACCTCTCCGTAACTCTGGTTTCACGAACGCTAAATCCTGAACTGAAACCAAGAGCTGTCTCTGACTTGGCATTGCCATTGATAGGGGGAAGGCTTTGGGATACAACCTTTGACTTATGAACTTTGGGTCCATAGCTATGTCCCTCCATGGCCTTTCCTGAAAGTACTTGGAAGCCAAGGGCTGGGTGACTCTTGGACAGTGGTTCTCCATTAGACCTGAAAAAAAGTTGTTTTTGTATGTTTTATTTTGACTCAGCAGAACTTAAATCATTGTTGCATGTGTGCATCATGCAGATCACTTAAGAAAGTTTCAAGAAAAGAGAATTTAATATTTTACATATCTTTGTTTTATTTATCGACTTTTATTTCATAAAAGTTCCAGATACCTCTGGCCAAAGCCGCCAACAGCTCTTCTTGGTGAGAATCCCTTGCGCCCATCATACTGTGGTGAATGCGGCCGTGGGGACAGGGATATCCTGCTATGGGCGTGATAGGACTTTTCCGCTTCTACAGAACAATAATGATAAGATGAAGATTTAGTATGGAAATGATTTGCATTTTATGCAATACAATACCTAACTCACTTTTTGGACTAGTCCATTATTAAGTGGCAAGGGAATACATGTATTTGATTTTTGTCTAATGTCAAGAGTAAACAACTGTGGTTAACACAAATTTTCTTACTGTTGCATACAATCTACAATTGGCTATGACTATCTTTGGCAATAATACAAAATATGGAATTTTCAACTATCCTATAAAAGTACCATGTGTAACCCCCCAACAGTCAATAGTTCAGTCCATAAGTTACTGATCCAAGATGGCTGAAAATGGGTGAGTGGAAGGTTCTGGTAGAACTTGCAGAAAAATTGAATGAAAATGACCAGTTTTTGGTATACTTAATGTGGTAGTTTATACAGGAAAGTAAGGATGGGGCTTTAATAAAATTGTCTTGTTAGAATTGGTTAAAAGGGGCCGAATTTTGAGGGAAAAACAGAATAATTTTTCAGTTACAAATTACTCTTCGTCTGATACCATCCTGACACATGTATTAAGTTCTTCTTCAATTATCAAGTATTACATATCTATCTAACCTTGTTGACTAACATTTTATCATTTTTACTTACCAAGGTGTTTGTACAGCTCATAGATAGCTGAGGTTGTGAGGTCTCTTGCTGAGGGACTGTAGTTGTTTGCAATGGAGTCACTGCACAAAAATAAAGAACATTAAATTTTGTTCTCAATCACAGCATGTGTTCATATGTTGCAGCAGATGTGTCATTAAACTTCCAAATTGATAGTATGTAGACTCACCTAACATGTCTAAAATATCTCTCTTCCTTCTGTGGTGCAGCTTTGGTCCGAGCGCCAGTCTGAACAATCTTTGGTCGATCACTCAGTGTCCCCTGGGGGAAAAAAGGAACTTAGTAACTTTCAAAATTACCCAAAATGATGCTTGTTTAAAACACATAGAAGCCTTAATCTTTGATGCAATACAGCAATGGACGTTGTAATCATGCAATTACTTCCTCCGTACAGTTCTTACACATGACTTTTCCTTTCAATGGTTGACTCAGCATTTAACATATTTAACATTAGTCAACTGTGCAATAGTCCGTCAAGGAGTATCAAAGCTGTTGATTTGAACTAAGCTCCCATGTGATCATGTATAAAGGCATATTTCAATACAAAGCAGAAACAACCTTATTGAACAGCTGGCTTTGTATCTATAGCAAATATGCTTGCTAACAGGCAGGCATGCATGCTGTTTTTTCTGTGGGTATTTCCCATTCAGTCCCACACAATGGTCAAAGAAAATACACCTGTTTTCTGAAGATCATAGTTTGGTTTACAAATGCATATTCGTTGTGCTACCTCATGTACTATCTATGCTGTTTTAAGTAAATTTTGTAAAGGTTGAATTGACCATCACAAAACTGTATTGATGATGAGGTCACCATCATTTAATGTGTTAACACTTAGCAGGGAATTTTTTTTTTTGCTTTCAATCTTTTTAGCTTTGAATGAGTGGCATGTTAACGTTGGTTTGGTTTTTAAAAAAAAATTGAAAAATGAGAATTCATACAAAAAAAGAAGAAATAAGAATGTATGCATGGGGGAAACTCATACTGTATCGAGAAGAATAAGAATACAGAATAATCAAAATACAGAATTCCAAAATGCTTAATTCTAGTCTTCTGTCGGTTTGTTACCTACAGACAAGATAAGATGTTTTTGTAGCTGACCTGTGGAGCATCCAGAGGAGGCAGGTGTGAGATGATGTCTGGGCGTTGAGGCTGATACTTGACAAAGCTCTTTGTAAGTGCACCGGAGCCATCAGGGCTGTAGGAGAGCTGTTGGTAGACACCAGGACTGTACGATCTCTGTAAGAAAACAGGGGAGAACAGGTTGAAAACAATGATCCTTTTTTTTAATAACTGACCTTCCATTGAATGTGTCTCAATCGGTTGAATCAACAGGTGGTTACTAGTATATGTAGATCCTGCTAAGAAATTATTTCTTAAGTCATAATAAGACACACTCTTTCCTTCAAAATACAATCTCTATATGGAAGCAGGTTGAAAACAATTTTTTTTACTACCAGTGTCTAACCCTGCATTGGATGTGTCCCAATTAGTCGAATCAACAGGTGGTTCTTTGTTGTCTCTGGTCAAAAATTATTTCTTAGATTATAAGACATATTAAGATATCTTCTTTCCTTCAAAGTTACACCAGGGCTGTACAATATCTGTAAGGAAATGGGAAAACAATCCTTTTGTAACTGACCCTCCATTGAAGGTGTCTTGATTGAATCAACAGGTGGTTGTACATGTAACGTTATGTATGTAGACCCTGCTAAGAATTTATTTTTAACTTATCAGGTTGCTCCTTCCTTTCAAATACAGGGTTTCAAAGAAATGTGGTAGATCTAAATGGAATCTTGAAATTTGTATGAAAAGGAACAAAATTTATGACTTTTATTTTCATTTTTCAAAATAATTGTAATGTGGAACCTGGACCAATAGACCTTGACCTTTGTTTACAGTTGCCTGCTGAAAGCTTCTGTCAGAGTTTTAAGTTATTCATACATGCATGTTATAACTTTTACACATATTTCTCTTTCACCTGCTTGGCAGTACTGACAGACCTTTGCAAGCTCATCTGTCAGCATGTGCAGGTGATTTTATTAATCCCTGTAACAAAATCCTTTGTCAAAATGAAACACACTTTGTCTGAGCAAACTGAGCTGGTAACAGCATCGGAGGCAGAGAATATTTTGCATGATTTCCATCTTACATCAGTAACAGAACCCTAATGTGAAGGTGACAAGGTGCATGAAAAGATGGTGTTAATTATATTGCTATAATGTCCAATATCATAACAACCATTAATTTGGAAACAAGAGATGTGGATACTCCTTGTTATTTGTTCATAATTGGTAATTCCATCTGTGTGTGTTACCACCACTTAACATCCATTAGTTAGGCCTGTATTAAAAGAGTTTCTTTTGCCTACCATTGAGCCAGATTTTAACCTTGCTACTTAATGTACAATGATAAAGTGTACTAGCTTCTCTATTCAATATTCAACATGGCTTTGCTTAAAGTCCTTGTTTATGACCCACATCTTTGCAATAGACTTTTTTTCTGAGTCTGAATTGCATTAAGTGCTAGATATCAACATAATAGCACTCCAGTTTTTTAGTTGCATTGTGTTGGATAGTGATAGGATCTGGCCATTGCACACAAGGGCATACCTCCATTGTTTCAAGAAGTGTGTAAGGCTTTGATATGCTTGAGGTGACTGTCCCTTGGTAAAGGCAAAACATTCACTTCTTGAGACTTAAGCCCAAAATTCCAGTAGCTCTCGTATCACAGTGAAAAAAAATTGTGGAGCTTTGTTAAAAGTTGATTCATGGAGTTTTTGTTAGCCACAGCTAATTAAGTATTTAGATAGAACCAACAAGATGAGGAAGCCATAAATCATACATGTGGGAATTTAAGAACAACCCTCCCTTTCCAAAATATTTGCAGCTTTTTCCCTTTTAATTAGTAATGCAGTTTCAAGAGTCTTTCTTCTTATCAATAATTTTTTTCTCCATTGTCTCAGGTGAATGTCAAAACAACAGAGTGCAAAAGCTTCTCGTGGTACTCAAATATTTGACCCTTTTGTACTTTGCAGATAAGATATTTGAATAGGTTGTAAGCTCTTGTTTTGTAAGGAATTTGCATGTCAATCCCCGTCAGTCAAACAGTTCTGCTGACAGGGTGTGGCATAATCCCGCCAAGCCGTTATGCTTCTGCAGATACTGTTGGACTAAGGACATTTTGACCTACAGGACCTTAGCTACCAAACCCCTATTTAGATTAGACGTTCCGTATGGTTGGTTCATGATCAAGATTTGCCAGGACCACTTTGAGCTGTAAATTTAGACTGTTGTGAATGTGTTACATTCTGTTGAATCTTAAGTTAAGGAAGCTTAAACCTCAGGTACCTTGGGGCCACACCAAAAATCTGGTTTCGAACCATTCAAATGAACTGACTTATGATGTTCCCTCCAGATTTTGGATAAATATGAACATCCACAAATCCACACTTTGTATAAAAGAGAAGAAGCCCTTGCGTACTATGAATCTGATGAAGTGGGCTACAGACAAAGGAAAGAGACATATTTCATCAGGGGCACCTGATTCAGTTTTAACTCATACTTTCCTGATGCTGACAATTAGACTGTGATTCAATGAGACAATGTGAAACATTGGTTTTCAAACTGTATTCATCTGCTAACCTTGAAAGAGAAAAGTGCATGAAAGTTTCTGTTGTGAATGAAGGACCTGTAACAGGTGGTTCGTGATGAAGACAAAAGGCACGGAAGAATGTTGCTGCCATGCCCACCACAAGAATTCATCAAATTGAATGCCATTGGCACTGGCGCAAAGGTATTGAAGCACTTAAGTTAAATAGTATAACCACAGTATATTCAATTCTTGTAATGTGCGAAGTAATAAATATGTTATGGAACACTGCCTGGCTAATAACATTGTTTTGCTGACTGTTTTTTCAGGTATTGTGATGCACTGACTGGAAGAATCGGTTCTCGGCAAGGCGCGCAAGGTAGGACCGTTATATGAGAAGGTAACCCCAGCTGGGGTAAGGCTTGTCATGGTATTTGCCCAGGTCATGCTTACATGACTCTACAAAGCATTTCTCTTGTCAGAGCAAGGAAAACACAATTCCTTTCACCACAGAGGGGAAGAGAATTGTCACAAAGATTGATCTGACACCTGTCCGGTGGCACTGCCTTGGTAACGGCAGACATATTTTTGCGGTGTATTATACAGCTTCAGACGCGTTGAGTACGGGGCTCCTAAGAACAGCAACGCTATACAAGTGAACCGAAGCCAGTGTGAGAGGTCCTCCAGTGTTTGTCTTTGCTGTGCATACAGGACTGTACTTGAGCCGTTTCCATTCACGACTCTGAGCTTGCTTTTTTTAACAAAGCAGCTTCTCACCTCCGCTGGAAAATTATCCCCATTTTATGTGAAAACTACAACTGGATTAAAACGGAGAGCGACCTTTCCAGCGAAAGGATGTCGCGCTTTTGATAAGCTGCGCTGCTCGAATTTGGCATTACTACATCTGCTTGGCATTTGGAAGTGACGAGGGTTGAAATAATACCATTTTGGTTTGCTCAAGGGGGAAACCAATATACCAAACCTGTCCATTAGTGAGAAGTTAATAATTACTGCGACTATATCAATGACGTAAAGCACTGTGTATGTTGTTCATTGTCCCAAATACCTGAATCACTGCAATGCACCTTGCTCTCTGTTAACACCCAAAAATCCCTAAAAATTGCAAACATGCCTTCAAAATGTAAACGTACACATAATAAGTCTTAATACGAAGTGAAAAATGTCGGTTATCTTTTTACTTTATGACCATAAACCACCAACCTTCTATTGTAACTGTCTGCCAAGAAATGTCGGCCTGTTGCAGGTATGGCTTGGTGCTGCTGATGACGCTATGGCTTGGCTAACAAGTGACATTTGAGTAAAACCTACAAAGCTAGGACAGAACCATTGCTCACATTTTAGGGGGGCAAAAACGAGAGACAAGTATGTTTTAGTGACAAAATGTTTGGAATATGTGTGTTTCATTGTTAACCAAGATGTTGTATTGGAAACGGAATAAAAGAACTATGCTTGCAATGCTAATATGATGAACTTAGCCAACCACTGTTGAAAGTTTTTTTTATTAAATTTTCCCCATGCCGACAAAGAATGGGAGAACCCAGCGTTAGAGCTTTGGCATTGTTTGCACAGGCTCTGCACACATGGCTTACACCATTCAATGTAAGAACCAGTGGCAAACGCTCACCTTCATAGAGTGCCAATTATAGCAAGTTCAGCATCGAAAAGTCATCTAAATGGTAGAGTCTTTCCTAATGGATCCCCATTGTTTGTCTTATGACATTACGGTATATTACCGGTTATTTAGGGGTTGATGTAACAATGTGGCATCATCATGGGATGAAGCAAAGGGAGAGATTTAGGCATTGACGTAAAACATCTCCATCTGTTTGCACATGGTATTGCAAACCACCTGTTTCTATGTATGCCTCATGTATATCTTAATATCAATGAGAAGGGGCAGACAAAATTTCACTGCATTAAAATTACCTATTTTCATTGTGTACATTATACATAATGCTTTCAGAATAGCCCGGTGTTTTTTTGTGGAGACATAGTCTTTTACTTGTTGGCAAAACAGGATCAAGTAACATGTGCAGCCTTAGAATTTGAATTTTTGTGGGGGTCATTCTGTTTTGATAATGTGGCATTTTGTTTGGCTTATCAATAAATCATTGTGTGTGCTTTTTTTTCAAAGAGGTTCATCTGCCAAAAGAACAACCACAAAAAAGAGTCAGCCTCTTGAATGGGACACCACAAGAGGAGCCATTAAGACACGTCAGTCTCTGTGTAGCTGGCACGTGTGGTGATCAGGAAAGGCGGGAAAACTGATGGAAACCTGACACCTGTTGGCCATAGCTCAGCTTCTACAGGACACCTGGGGAAGCAGTGCTTTGAATCTCATGGCAAACCATCAATACTGAAAATTTACTGATTTACTGTTAATTTACTGATCAACAACTAACAGTAAAATTTCAGTAAATTTTCAGTAAATCGTAGATGATACCTGAGTACTTAACAGTAAATTATCAGTACTGTTGGTTTGCCATGGGACACACACATGATATTTTTATACCAAGAGATGCCCATGTTGCCAGAATCACTGATAATAACATATTGATAATTCATTTGTATCTTGTCCACTTTTGGTCATTATATGAAATTTGAAAGCTGGTCTATAGATACATCATTGTTATGCTGATTCTTGATGAAACATTTTCATCAATGAATTATAAAATCTAATGATAGTGCCTGATGGCATATAATATGCTCTAAATCTCCCAACACTATACATAGCTAGGTGACCTTACTATGGTACCAAATTTGTATTTTCTGGGAAGTTTAGGGAAGTGAGTAAAAGGTTAACCCGTGCATAGGTAAAGGTTAGTGTCTGTTGAGCAAATATGTGACCACTGTGTACTTTCAGTGGGAATGAAAGTAAATGGAATGATAATAAACAATGGCTAATTGCATGGGAAGATCCTGTTTGCTTAATCAGAGCAATTAGTTTCCATGCCATACTGGTTTCTTGGTTACTCTATCTTCCTGAGAACTGAAAGTGCACCTGGGACAATTCATATTAGCAGTAACATACATGTACCTCTACATCAAAGCAAGTAATGATTATGAGAATATTTCCTCTTTTCTCCCCACACAATTTGCAGGATTATGATTATCATTTCTATATTGAAACCCTGTTATGTTCGTATTGTTTGAGCAGACCCTTTGCTGAGTGGTGCCACTTTTTATTCTAGTAAACACTGTCCTCAAGCTGGAACATTCTCAGCTAGCCAGGCAACCCAGGTATCCCTGCTATGCACACATTCCTGTTGTCAGGGAAATGCATTACCTTCCCTTCCCTTTGTTCAGGGGATTTAGGATGTTGAGAGGTAAAAACTGCTTTCCAACATTCCACTCATTGTGGATGCAAATACTGCTTAATATCCTGCAACATTAACACAATCATAACTGCTCTATAGTAAACTGCAAAGCATAAGGAATTGTGAAGAATGTTAAATCATAGATCCTGGCAATTTTCCATGAAGTATGGCAAAGAATACACTTAAAACATTTACCTGTATACTGGGTGAGTTTTAAATAGTTAACATTATTCCTTATCTAATATCTATATGTAAAGGCATAATGTGAAGTTGTTGCTTATTTACAGGTTTCAACTGCCATTGTCTCATGATTCCAGTTCTGCCTAGACAGGAACTAAATCACATAATCTCCTGTTACTGTCTCCCCTCTATAGACACAGCTGTTAATGTGTTGATAGCAATTTTCATGGACACGCCCAATCATTAATGGAATTGGATGCATTGTGTTTCAGATTTCCTTATATCTGAGTCTAGTTCGAAGACATCGAAATCCTTCTGATTTTGCATGAGGTTTTCTCATGGTATATTGAGTCCCCCAAACAGAAAACTATTTTGTCACATATTGCATCATTTGTCTGAACTGTATTGTAGCATGGTAGATTTAAGATCCAGCTCTTCCATCCTTACAAGAGTTACCTATGTCACTACAGTATCACAACAGTAGGTTTCCCAATGACTCTGTTGCAGACAAATTGAATGAAGTACCCTATTTCTGATACCCAGTATATTGCCTCATATCACAAATATTTCAGTTCAACAGGATGTTTGTGCAACAGGTGTTTTTTATGGACAGACTCGAAAGATTCGCAAGCCAGTTCCACACAATGAGACGTATTGTTCTACAGCCATGTAGAAACACCAAGCAACCTGACCAAGCCGTGAAAGTTACGTCGCACGCATAAGAAGAGGAAGAGAGACAGACCTTGCAGCATACCTGAGTCAGCCCGCCATGTTGGATTCAGGTGTGGCGTCCCCAGTATGTCATGCCCCGTGAGCCGTGAGTGTTGGTTCTGTGTACCCAGGCCCTGCATACATGACTGCCGTTGGCCCACGCTAAATGTGCCCAATGCCAGCCATGTATGTCAATATTTGCAAACGGACTGAAACAAGATGTCAGAGGGGGGATCAAATGTCAGGGAGAATTAGCCCCTATCTTGATCGGGCCCTTGTGTCAGGTGTTCTTGCGTTTTTTTTGTGCCGACCAACGGGAACATTTGTGATTGGTTGGGACGGTCAATATTTGCATACAGCGTGAAGGGAAACATGTTGAATCACCTGCCGAAACGAGAAGGGAAACTGCCACGAACAACAGCTGACATTTTCATATGTATACAACCTATCGCCTCCTCATGTTTAAACTAATTGTTTTCGGAGCCGGCACTGTACCTGCTTGCTTACATGCAGCCCTGCGTAATCTCGAAAATCTAATCTTACTAATTTGATTTATTCTACGGTAATTGTTATTGTCAAGTTATCATCAAAGTATTTCTGATACCCTTTTACCATGATAGGAATAAAGTTCGTAAAATGCTGAAAGTAAGATATTGTGAAAAATTGGGATTTCTCCTTTTATTCATCTTTATTTTCTAGGAGTGCAATAAATTCATTTCATCTTGTGTATGGTAAGTCATTAATTTTGTTGTATAATGTGCTGTCTTTGGCAGTATGATGATTATTAGTAATACTGAGAAGTACAATGTACCTCTGTAGTCAAGACCAGTGCTGGCTATGTTCAATTTTTCAATAACGATAATCTTCGATGCAAATTCATGCCCGAAAGCTAATTGCATGTGACAAAATAACACTGTACAATGTACAGTACATACATGTAACAGACTGTGACTGAACATACAACCTAGAAATGACTGAGTGGGAGATGTGTTCAGTCTTCTTATTACCTCATTTATCATCTACCAGCTGGCAGGTACCCAACTGTTACTGGGAAGTGTGTTCTGTTTCGGGGAAAGAGAAACAAATTTTTCAGAGAAAAACAAAGCTGTTAGTGCTTAATGCATGTGCCAGAGCTGAAGTGCAGCTTAAACACACCGGAGTTGTACACAAGGCTGATCTAACACTCCAGCTCTCACATTCAAGCACTGATCCTGCACAGAAGCTTGGCTTCCCTCCTGGTTTCAGATGTCACCTTTTATTCTTAGCTGACTACTACCTTTTATGTATTAAAAGCAAACATAGCTGGGACTTCATCATGGTAAAATGCAACAGGGTCACATTTTGTGACAACATCATGTAAAACATGATATTTTCAAGTGTAATAAGTGTATATCATCAATGACATCATAAACACTTTGTATTGGAGTTTTACCTGACTGCATGACATGGTGACTAGGTTGTCTTGTTACTCAACTTAGAATCTGAGTCTGAGTCAGGCAGCATGTTCACTGTTTTTATTAGTACCGGTATCTATAAATCATAAGGAGACGAAAATAGAAACCTATGCTACTTTAAATGAGCCATGTTTTTGTCTGAAACAAATCAAAGTAGTTGAGAAAGCAAACTGGGTTGTACAATATTATGAATAGTATTTGGGTATCATTTGAAATAAGCAGAATTGGTTATATGTTGTACTTCATTTGCAGTGTTTTCCTCTCAAATGTGATTGGTCATGCTTTATACCGGTAATAATAAAGCCTCACAATGTGTTTGAAAGTGCTGGGCATGTTTCAGTCAGGCAGTGCAGTACCACTGCAGATAGTAAGGGGGCTCTTATGTGGCACTATTAAATTACTGTAGTATTGAAGTACCTGTTGCATGTAAGATGCAATTCTGGCCAAGTTTGTTTAGTTACTTGGTTGGAAGTTTTGTATACCATGCCAGCTGCTCTGAAGTTGACTCAAATTTTGATCGATAGAATAAACAGGAAGGAACAATTTACCTTAAAGTTTGAGGTGTTTACAGGTACAAGAAAATAAAAGTTTCAATGTATAGTAGCCATGTTCACAATACACATCTCCCAATATACAGAGTAGGTACCATAAGTGTGTCAGTAACAACAGTACTGATAAATATTGTCTTTGCCATCCTCAAGCTGATAACTAAGTTTAGTAAAGCCTAGATTTTGGGTTATAGAAACAATTACATTACAGATGCACTTCAGAGAACCTAAAATTACAAGGGAACAATCAAAAATAGTTTTAGAAAGTCCTACCTCTGGGGAATGCCTCATCTTTGTCATATTTGGACTGTCACAGCATGTGTATACCCTCTCCCAACAGTCCTTAGATATAAAGCTAGCAGCTTACAGGAGTAACCATGATCTTATGTTGAAAGCAAACTGCTGCAGCAAAAGTGCTCTAGAGGTCTTTCAACTCTGATGTCTGTAACTTGTCTGTAATCCTAGTGGAATATCTGTTTTGTTTCAGTCTATTTAATTAAAGGTGTGAAAACCCATAGGGATAATGACGCAAACAAAATCGCAATGATCATCCCCTTGATATACCTGCATCATGATGCTATTTCTGGAACCATAATTGATTTCAAGTTGGAAAACTTTGGATTTTTCAGGGTTCTGTATGTTAAATAAACAACATGATGAAACAGCATATTATTCTTCAGGAATATGATCATGACAAGAGTGAAAAATAGCATACATGATCTTTACTGTTACTAAGAAAAAGTTTTTCACACCTAGGATTTTAGCCCCTCCCCCATTGTCTGTTCATAGATCGTTATGTCTTTTCAACAGTTCACTGTAAACAATAGTTGCTCATTTCCTTCCAACTTGTAGGTGTTTCGTCACACCTAGTGATTTGAAAGTAACCAGGTCCTATAATCATATGCATACTCAGAGCCAGGATGCCTCCAGGTGTGTATGGTCTAACCCAATGGATACATTTCTGGGTAATTGACATGGTAAAATGGTTTATGTTAGATTTCTGGGAAAGATATTAGTACTAAGGCCATACCTATTTTATTTGTTGTTTTTCAGGAAAAATTTGAAGCAAGAGAACAAAAAAAGAAACAGGACTAGGCATCCTTAGCTCCAAAAGCTACCGGGGACCATGAATTCAACATACTGGGCTGGTTTACTAGATGTAAGTATAATTCAAACAATGGATTTTGGACTTTTAATCAAACCACTGCATTGATAGGTGTAAAAACTGTAACAAAGTTAGGAAGAACTTTTTCACCTGTCAGGGGCCAAAATATGATTTTGAGCATTTTGGAGCTGATTTAGAACCTGAATACATTTTCTTTGCAAATGAGAAAAAAACGAAACAATTGATTACAGTAAATTGGTGTGAGCTTACTAATCCATTTTTATATGTAATATACTGGATGAGCTGGTTAGCAACAAAAATTTGGCCAGAAACCTAGCATGGAATCTAGCCTGGTGAGTCAGTACAATATGACAACTGTGGGCCCCAAGGGTGTTGTTGCCCATAACTACTACAAAGGAATCTTAAATTAACTGTGTGATGTGACTTAAAGTATTGAGGTCAGGGAAACGTGGTTAAGTATATAACATATAGCATGTAACTGTATCTCCTAGGTCAGTGTAGTAAAATGTGTCAGTGGATAAAAGATTTAAGTCCAGCTACTATTAAATGCATTCCATCCATTTGCTGCATACTTTTCATGTTACCACAGATGCTTTCTGGGGTACTTCAGAGGCCATTAGAATACTTTTATGACCTCTTGGATAAAAAATGTAAACATAAGATGTACCCACCTAATGCTCTTTACACAAAAAGGGAAATCTTAAGTCATTAATGCTTAAGGCACAACTTCTTAAGAGTAATAGGGATTTGAGTTACCATGGTGATTGTCATAACCCATCATGATGAACATCTGTTCTTTTCACTCAGTAAACATATACAAAAGCACTTTCTCAATTTGGCAATTTTTATCTGAATGAAGTCCAGAGTTGTTATATTTTGCAGGTGTGAAATTGCAGCAAAATTTTTCTTTAATCCTGGCAGTACTGTAGCTCAGATTTTAATACAATCTTGTCTACCGACACTTGACAGCTAAGTTTAAATGTACTGCCTGCATTTTATGTTAATTGAAGTTAACAATCCTTGCAGAATGCAGTTTGGAAGTAAGCTGCTAGGGTGTGTCAATTCTTGGGACATTTTCCAAAGAAGGTGATTGCTAAGAACAAGGCATAGCCACTAAGACAAATCCATTCAAAAAACCAATGTCATCTAAACCTTGCTTAAACATGCCCTTCTTTGTGAATACAGTATTATAATGTTATTATGTTGTTATCTTCTTACAAATCTTGACCATACAGTTAAGAAGAAAAGGTACAGTATTAAACAATGGCAACATTAAAGCCTTTCACTGAAAAAAAAACTTATTGCACATGGTTTCTGATACCATTATGGTCTTGTTTGTCATTTATAATATGCTTAATGTCCCTAAATGCCCTTATTTGTTCAATTTGTTTGACAGGCCTCCACTCTTGTTTTCTTTGCCCTTTTCATATTCTCCACCTAACGTATGGTGTGGACGTTTATTTCAATACACCTCCTGTCCACCATTCCCTCCTCCACTGCACAAACATCATTCAGTATTAATTACGCTTTTTTGCAAATGTTAGTTTTCCCTTGGAGTAACGCTAAGCGTGTTGACATGACATATTGCAAATGGGGTCTCTTTTGCCTATGGGGATAAAAGCCAACTTTGTATGAATGGTTGAGTTGTTTTTCTGTCCATGCCATGAAAACATGTCAGTTTCACCGGGAGACCCCATGTTACCTGTACAAACATCCCTGACTCACCTTACAGGTGTGTTGTCTGTCTACCTGGCAGATGGTATGTTGTAATTAAGGAAAGATACATACTACTTCTGATACTGTACTGTCTATGTTAGAATTGCAAGTGGTAGTTACATGTTGACTTAAGAAATTCATTTTAGCAGGTACAATAAGAACTAGTAAATAAGGACATCTAAAATTATGGCGTAAAGATATTTTTCAGAAGCTGACTGCAAGAAATGTTATTCCTGCTTACTCACTATTCCAACATGAAATTTAAAAACGTACTTCTGATAGGATATACGATGTATTAAAGGCTCATCATTTAATTTTTTCATTATATGATGCAAGGTTCAGATATGAATCATTGTCAATTGCACAAAGAAACATTATTGTCTAGGACTACATTATTTGTCCCAGTATCCACCCATCTACAACATTGTACCCTTTCCTGTCAATACCCTGTGTAAAACTGGGTGTGAGTTAGAGGTAAGAGATCTCATGTTACTGTCTGCACCTGTATGCCATGGGCAGCAGTCATGCACAGGTGTATTTCAGGTGTTCACAAGTTAACACCTGTTGACAGCCGCTAAACCCTCACCTGACCTTCCCGGATGCCTTTCTCCATACCTTTGCAACAGGTTTTATATATGCCACAAAATTAAGATTGCCTGATTGTCTTAATTAATTTGTCCTAATACTAAGTACACTGTACTTGAGTATCAATTAAAGCTTTGAATGACATTACAGTCAATCATCAGTCTTATTTCTCTAGGCCCCCTGCATCAAAGTCTTTAACCTTTACCATCATAGTCTTCACATAATGTCGACATGTAAGCTCTCTGTCAGGGTTCCCAAACAACTTATTTGATGTAGTGACAAGGTACAACTGGTGACCTTTCTGTAAAATGTGGCTTTAAAAATCTAGGTATTGGATATATACATGTACATCTATAGATGTTCTGACATACTGTATGGAAAATACAGCCATAATTTCCTGTTCACATACCTGTGTGTTCTCTACCCTGGCTGCTATGTCCTGCGTCCTGCCAGACGACTCTTTCTTAACTAACGGTCATCTCACACTAGACTGAACCTACTTGTACCGTAGACTGAAATTTGGCGGGAATTTGCACACGTCTCACCTTCATCACCACATCTCTTCACGCTTTCTAAGCTCGAGTAGAAAGAAGGTCTCAGTTTAAACTTAATACATGGCTGCCTCTCTGCAAAACGCATGTCCACTGAACGCAAAAATTCATTTGAAAGGCAGGAATTCTATGTGCTCCTTGGTAATGTTTTTCTGAGACAGAAGCTTTTCACTTGTTGCAACCAGCGTGTCAACCTGCTGTGTTCTCCTTTGTGGTGATGCAGACCATGGTGCCCATATGACTTCACTGTGGCAGCATTCACACCTGAATTGCTGCATTACCATTGTTAAGTACCAAATCCCTTATATTTGTTCAAAACAGGATTTTTTTCTGAAAAATATCTTTGATGCATGTGTGCTTACTAGTGTAAGTGTTCAAACTGCAAAGTTAAAGACAACAATAATGCAAAGGCTTTTTGTAGGCCATACATGTAGATTGAAACAATGGACACAGAATCTTTACACTGGCAAGAAGCAGTGGTGAATTGCTTTGTTATAATTACTTTTGCAAACCAGTTGTTATAAAGCTTGAATACTACTGTTACTGTTAACGTTATGTGTGCAAACCAAGTTGTCCCAAGTAAAACAGGTGTTGTCCCAAGAACCTTTTTTCTCTTTCCGTAGGAGAAATGAAATGAAAACCCCTTTGTTGTCACCAAAACCACAATGTGCAAACTGGTATTAAAGGTGATGACAAACAAGTGAGGTTTTCACTTGACCAAAGTGGATTTGAAGGCCGTACATTCAAAATAGCCTGTATGGAGGCAGTGTTTCCCTATTGTTGTTAGTGACTGGAACATGTTTTGATTTCTTCAGGTGAGGTCAGCTATGGCATGTCACTGTTCAAAAGGAACAGGCTCAAAGAAATACATTTTGTACCAGGCTCAAAGAACCATGGACGAAAGGAACACAATGGCGAAGAACATACCAGCTGCTTGAAAAGAATGACCCAAGGATGCAGACAGGGCATAAAAAGTTCCTGTTTGTCACTGTTTGAAAATGTGGTATTCAGATACAACGCTTTGTTGTGATAAACACAGTATATATTGTTGACGACAGGAGGTGATTCAAGTTGAAAACTGGCGGGAATCGTCATAGCAACGACCAACAGGTACTCAATGGAAGTTTAGTGTTTGACCTTCTAGGTGTAAAGAAAATTTGGCCGCGGCAATTGCGATGACAACGGTGATGCACAACTGATGGAGATGGTAACAGCAGTTTAAAGTTCCTTCAAGTTGGTAAAAGCCAGCTCCAAACAAAATGACATCGATATATGGGATATGGGCATGATCGGCGCATCCTTCAACATTCTACTTGTATCTTTACACT